ATTTAAAAATAAGCATCTACACTTTGCACAATATGGGAATTCATGAGGATACTTGATCAAGAAGTGTGTGTAAGTGTGGGAGAACCATGCTTCGGAACGAATGGGCCGGCTTGACCGGAGTGATACCATGGCTTCACAGAAAACCGACGTGAAACAACGCTCGCGTTGTGTTTCGTCGTATGAGTGAGGTTACCGGAGATCCAATTACCCCCCTCCTCCCCTCCTATTTCCCGTCTCCCGAATCCTTGAATCCTTCACAATCCTCAAATTCCAAATTCCCAAAAGGCCGGTAACGCACTTGTAACGCCTTGGTGTTTCGAGCGTCCATGGGCGACGCCGATTGCTTACCATCAGGTGATCCATCTGCTCGTTTACCGGCTTATGGTATAGAAAATAGAAAAAGAAATAGACTAAATCGTAGGCAAGATGTAACACAAAATACTTAACACATAACCAAAACTAAATTAGGCAGCTATTGTATACATGTGTGTGAGTGTGAGTTGTGATTATTTTACTAAACATAAAAACAATATGCGGGACAGACATTTGGACGGAAACCCGTATTTGATTAATTACTTTAGATAAATAATAATCTCTTACAATTTTTTTTTCAGAACAATCACAGGGATCTTATTTAGCGAAGTCTGTACTTAATCAAAAGGAGAAATAGTTAGGTATATTTAAATGCCCGAAATCAGTGCTATCAGCAACCTTAAACTGACCTATTTCAGTCAATATAGCCAATAGCATCTCATTAGTAGTCCTTCGTATATTCATAAAACCATACCTACTAATTAACCTTCAATTTATAGTTTACTTAACTACAATAACAATAACTGCTGATATTATGTATAGCATCAGATGATTTCAAGCACGGAATGTGCATAAAACTAAAACCGCATGGAAACGAATTTGTTAAGCAAAAAAATATGTCAATTCAAAATTGATACCTACATCGTGTTAACTATAACAAAAAGTAATGGTATTATTCTACGAACTTCCTACAATACAAGTACATAACTAATACGTCTATGAGTAAACAAAAGCTACATTTACGAGCTATGACAAATCTGAATTACAATCATAACCTTTTACCCGACGCATTCTCGACGCATTCGGCCCAATAAAATAATTTATGTCCAATTTATGTTAATACAATAAATACTGACATAAATAAAGCCAGAAGACAATTTAAATTTATGTAGATTCAGTCTACTGTCTTTGAAGGAGCAACTAGTATTCAAATTGAATGATTTGTGAATATATATGTCGTAAAAGTTAATATATCTATTAGTGAATGGAGTTTAGAAAGTTGAGGAGGAAGTTAAGTCAAATGGTCGAGATTGTTGTTCGTTATTTAATATATTGGTGGACTATGAAATCAGGGCAATTGTTTGTTTTATTATTTAAACACGATGTATATATATTAGATAGGTATGTATATTCGTATGCTGATTTTTCTTGGACAATTTGAAATATGGAATAGGTACTTACCTTAATAGCACATAACAATACAACAAGAAGTTACATATACAAACTAAACTAACTTTTTGCCATGACTCTCATGAATAGAGAAAGCCTTTTTTCCCGGACTTCCTACCGTGTACAATATGAACATTTTCAAGAAGATCGACTAAGTATGTAGATAAAGCTTAAAGAGGTAACAACAAACAAACTTTACCTTCGTATTTATAATACTTATTAATTGGTATTACTTAGCTTTTGATTTCTAAATTGAATAAGAAGCGCTTACAAAATAATTCATCAAAGTAGAAGCGATAAGAGTGGATAGTCCACATTCGTAGCAACTTCGTAGCAGCGGCGTAGCGGTCTTATGCAGTGCATTAAAGAGCTGTTGCTTAAGTAAATTATTATATTAACTTTCTCTGTGGCCAATCAGATTAAAATACTTAAATAATGATGTACATAATATGTCCGTTTTGTGGTGTAAGTATTTAGGATAATAATTTTCAAATGCTTCGGTTGAAAAACAATCCTGAGGTGGTCCATTTCATCCGAATATTATTTTCAAAGGTAAACGATCACGCAAATGTTTCCTCGTTGATCCTGTACTTTCCAACTTCCCTTACAAAGGAACAAAGTGACAATACGCAGTGATATTACCCACAACATCACCATCAACACTGACATCCAAATTGTTGTAAAAATACACCTTATATTTGTTTGGTGCATTTTTGAAATAACACAAAATGTCCAAATGAATGTAGTGAACCGCAATAATACCAATTCCAGTAATTGTATCAAGAAAACGGTTATTTGCAGGGAAAGAGCGACAAACCGACAGATGCTCCCGGCCATCTTGCGGCCGCGACAAAAGTATCGCATGACGCGTTCGTGACTTTGTGGTCACAATGTCGCTGTTTAAAATCAAATTTCGGTAATATTATGTCGCCGAAATTGTTCGTAACGACTAAAACCTGCCACTCCAATGTAAATGATGTGATGACGATGTAACTCTTAATACAATCATGTACACTTTTTATAATTGTAGCCAATTATATAATTACAAATTAGTTTTCATTGCACAACAATGTCTCTCAGTATTTAACATGTTCATGTTCATCGAAGTTTACAGCTTCGTATAAGTAGATAACAAACACTTTTTCAAGAGTTATAAAAAACAATATGGGGTATAAGACGAGAAGTTGTGAACCGTGAAATTGCCATCTGTGTCGCGAACACTGTTAAGTGGGTTGCTACGTAGTGTTAGCTATTCGCGACATTTCGTAATCGTTTCCATGCATTGATAATAAAAAATATCCTGTATTAAATATTCGGAGGCCAGTTTTGTGTTTTTTCCCTAATTTCAGGCGAGCATGGTCATAAAAAAATAAGCCAGCCAGGAACAGCAATACAGAGTTTATTAATCAAGTAGAGCGACACTCTGGGCTCAGTGGCATTTTTCTTGGAGGATGTCGTGTTCATTATTTCCCGGGAAGACGGGCGGTGTGATGAGAAATTAATCCGGGGGTGGGCAGGTGGCCGCCGCAGGTGCGGTGCGCGGCCAATTTGCCGCAACAATAAGCCGGCCGCGGAGCGCCAGCCTCTTCATGAGTGCACGCCTAATCCGTGCGTCTACGTCTCCACCAGTCTACGCACACGCTACCTAAACATACCACTTTATGTCTTCAGTTGCCCCTCTTAAAAGCTCTTGAACAACGCTCGGCATCTTTGTAATTGTTTTTATTTTCGGTAGACTTAATGAGGGCTGAAGCATTTGAGTATATTTTACGATACGAGCTCATTTCTTTTTAAACGCTTTTTGTGGAGAAAACTTGCAAACTTTGCAATGTTTCTAAATACCTAAATACAAGAAGATAATTTTTGTAAATGGGTTCCAGCTGCAAAACACTGAAGAAAAGCAGTAGATATGAAGGAAAGCGCACGGAGCTGCGGCGCCCCGTAATCCGAACATATCTCGGTACATTGCTCAGCGCGACACAGCGGGACTTAGCGAAAAGCCTCGCCGCGCAGATGCTTATCTCAATAACAGTTTTATTTATTTTTGCGAGCGGCTGATCCGCTCCCGGCGGATCCGTCTAATGAAAATAGAGGAAGGCGCGCTCACCCGCTAACACCACGCCGCAGCGGAGACGCGCCTGAGACAAATGTGTTTCCGAGCAAGGATTCTAGCACCAGGACAAAACTATTTCTTATTATGTACCTAAGTAAGTATCAACAAATTACTACAGATATAGATTTAGTCGGTTATTCCGTTTGTAGAAGAAAGTTTTGCAGCACTCGTCTGTCTTTGATGTAAACAAACATACCAAATGCGGTAAGTACGCATTCGTCATCAAGAAGTTTTGTTAATTTCTCTTTAAAGCCGCTTGTTACAGGACTGCGACAAAGTTGCGAGAAGACATGGCGCGTTTGAGTTTATTTAGTCGCGCGATTAACGACCACAACTGTCGTAATGCTGACTTGGTATGTCGTAAAACACAGCACATTGCGACGCGACTGCTTAGAACAGAGACGATCGACTTCAAAAATATGTGCTACCTATACGTAGTATGTACTAAGATACACTTGTATCCCGACCTATTAAATTTCTTCCAGACATTGAACATGTCAGTTTCACTTCGCCAAAACACTAAGCTATCATGATTACTTCCTGTGATTGTTCCATACAAATATTGTCATCAACCCCATATCAGAATTCAGAGTAGTCATACCTACTCTGGGCATGTCACCTTGCCAACAGAACTTATCTACAACAAAAAGAAACCATGAATACATTACGCTATTCCATAGTATTCACACAAAACAGAATAAGTCGACACATATTAAAAGCCAATTCTCTCGGCGACCGCAAACAACGGGGGAGGTGAAAAATCTTGCGGTGGCGAGACGGGCCAGGCGTACCGGTGGGGTCTAATTAGGTCATTTGCCATAATTGCTAGCTCCAGATTGGTTTTTTCGCGTCGGCAGCGTCCCGCGAGAGCCTCAGGACGTTGCCTTGCTTTAATGAACACTTCTAGCACAGAGACACTGGAATAAAAACTCTTATTTTCACAGAGCGGTCATCCGTACTTAGGTTTTTAATTGGCTGTTATTATGTTACGGTACCTTTAAAGATTATACGATGACGTATATGACTAGAAACATATATCCTTAAGTTATTTTTTTTTATTCATTCACTTTACCTACTTGGTGACGATGATTGGGATTCTGGATCGAGGTTGGTGGACGAATAGTGGCAATGAATCTCCCCCTATTGCATAGGGACTAAAATAATATTGAGTGTCTTCTTCAGAACATTTAGACTCTTCAGGGGAAATTATTATCTGTACATGTTAACTAAAGAAAAATAAAGATAAAATTACTAATCATCCCTTATCTAAACGATTTATTGGTCAAAGTAAATGATAATTTCAATTAGAACATTTAAAAAATACACAAACGAAACATTATTTAACAGTCTGTCAGTTGTGTTGTACAATGCTACTTATAGAAATTTTGAGTTCAAAAGGTTTAATAATGTTCGGGGTTTAGGAGACCTTTATATTTACAAGGTGGAGCTCGATTCGATGGTTGGTGGAAATTGCTTTTTTAGTTTCTCTCGCTTCCTTAGCTCATCTCTCAGGAGTACGAGGTTCTCGTAATGTTCTGCTGAAGCATCCAGGAGGTCCACACAGACCCTGACTGCAGCTGCCTGACGCTCCCGTTCCACTTCCATCGTAGAGTCCGTCGCTTGGCTTACCGACAGCACCTTTTCTACCATGTCGTCTAACCTGAACGAAATTTCAATAATTAAGGGCCGTTTTACACAAATACTTACAACACTAATTTGCTCAATGCATGCACCTCATTACTGACCCATGCAGTGCATTATACAGCACTGTGTAAACTAGGCCTTATATTTTTTAAAGCATCATACGAACGTGATAAAAATTGTGAAAGGATAAGAAAGGATATTGGATTCTATATTGGCTATTTATCTACTAAACGGATCTGAATGCACACAGATGACTTATAAATACCTACCTAAGTCTGGAATAGCACATAGTACATAGCAAAGCTCGCGTTTTCGTTGAATTAGTGGAGATAAAACCACCATTCGTCTCCTTGGAACAATCGTGTAAATTCTTTCAGTACCTAAGATGCCCAGTATATAGCAACGTTACGCCATAAGGTCATATGGTCCATGTGATATTCTGTTTTGAGTTCCAATACCACGGAGTACCTACTGATATTAAGTTGATTTCAAGTGATCTGCGACTGGCCGTTGCTTCAGTCTTAATAACATTCCTAAATTGACATACAACAGCTCACAGTCCTTTTGTATTCTGAAATAATAAAGCATTAACTACTTCATCAAATTCAAAATCTAAAATGAAAACAAATAGAGTGAATGTACTTACTTTCTTTTATGGATTTCTAGGTAAAGGCAGAAGAATAGTGTTAATAGGAAGACGATGGCTGCGTTCAGCTGCGGCCAGGTGAGGTCCTGGCTGACGATGTGCAGTCGCGATATCCGCACCTTCGGCACCACGTCCCACACCGAGAACCCCGGCACCAGCAGTGTTAGTGGTAACGCGAATACCACCATCACTCCTATCACCACGGATAAATCACAATCGCTCTTATCAGTCATCACTTTGTTTTTAGGAGAAGAATGTTGAAAAACGTTTGATTTTGAATGACAAGTCCAAACAATAATTGACTTATGTACGGCGATCAAAGAGTATAATGTATAGACGGCAATATGACGGCGACAGACTATTAATATGTAACTCAAAGAGTATTTTGTATATAGTTATTAAAGAAGAACGTATTATTTCGTACTGACCCAAAACTCTACTATACCACCAATATACCACAATAAAGTTGTACCAAATGATGAATTTTATTCGCAACTTTAGTTTGCATAGGCTCCATAAATGTGAACGAATATGGCAGAAACATCTTATTCGCGTTACGATAAAACATCAAAGAAGCGATAGCCATTTGTAAGGTTTAGTGCCCGAAATTCGCGAGGCAGCAAATGGTCCCTTGTGGAACCTGCGTCCGTCATATGGAGCGAGCCGTCGACGCTCGCGCGGCATATCAATTTCGACTAGGTACACACAATAAAATTGGACGGTCTCCGGAGAGGGCTTAAACGATTCGCCGTTTTGTCTCGGGGCCCAGCTGCGTAATGACCGGAGCAGGAAAAAATTGTCAGCAAGAAAACGCGAGGGTAGTCGGGTTTATGTGCACGCGGCAGCTGGCGGCACCGGGCGGCGACGCGCTCCTAACTGCCTCTGCTTACCTCGCAAAACCCGCGCCAATTTTATTTATCGAAAATATAAACCGATTTGCGGAGGGCCCTCGTAAATTCTGAACGGCTGATTTATGGCGGTTACCAGCCGCGCTTAAAACAAAGTTGCTTCTTAAAGGACTTCCTTACCTACATATCTATTGCTTCCTTATAAAGACCTGTAATGAAAAACCAGCCGTCCAGATAAGGAAAGAGGCTTATAGATTTTTAAGCAAGGGGAATTCGAGGCATACCGCTATGCTTACTATCCAAGATAGTAACAACAACCAATAAACTCGATCACATTCAACAACAATTCAAACCCACCCGAATGACATTCACTTTCTTGTTACAATCTGATACATAAGTAAGTATCCTTAAACGTATAAATCTGGATAGGGTATCGCGTGCCAGTAGAAACTTCCTCGAGGAATTAACAAGCTTGGGGCTGACGGGATTGCAAACAACTCCCCAAGGGCGGTCAGACGTACAGTGCTCGCCGACTTGCCGTGTCTAAGGAGTCGCGCCACGCGAATCAATTAGGTGATTTGAGGCATTTGAGGGTCGGCTGCGGCCTCGCGTGACGGAACCTCGCTCGAGTCAACACTGATGCTCATGCCTACAATATTACCTACTTAGGTACCTACCTACTTGCGTTTTTTAACACAATTATCTAAAGGGAGTACCTAAGTACTACTAACGTAGGTACTAAATAATAAGTAACGAAATAAAAGTTTGTGGGTACCTACTTACCAAGAATGGTTAGGTATTATTTTACTTATGTACAATGAAAGTATTATTTTATGAACAAGCAGGAGTGCATCCTCTGTCTCGTATCTAGCCGATAGTCATTTGAGACCAGTTGCCAATAAGACCATGTACTCATCCTTTTTAGACTAAGTAAATTTAACTCGTCGAGTACCGGTTTTATAGACACAATTAAAGAATAATAGGTCGCGGTCACCGGTGACCGCTTGGTGTTTGACAGTTTAAGATAGAAATAAACCTACCGGTAAATATTACATCAAACAACATACGAATCATGATTAATCATATCAAAATAATTTACTTAATGACATGAGAACATTAACCAAGTGCTTGATTAAAAACATTCGGTCCATAAAATAAGTACCAGTAATGAAGGAACCACTCAACCGCATTTAGGGACCCTCACGTCAAATAATTGAACCAAATTAATTTACCTTTATGAAGGGCAAATTGTTTTGGTGAATCCCCAATCAATTTAGTAAATTGATCAGTTTTATGACAGGGCGGCAAGCACGATAAAAAATTGGTTATGTACACAGATACCTATGTAGGTAGGTAGCTGTATTTAAGTGCCTGTACCTAACCCTCTACAAAGGGCATAGGTAATTTGCTGTCACACAAAACACGTATGATTTCTAAGTTTATTCCAATGTTGCCGTGCTTGTAGTACCTAAATGCCAGTGTCGATAAATAAGTAGGTAGGAACTTATACTCGACATGTAGGCAACCTTCTTTATTATATCTGTGAGGCAGACACATATCTAATATATAGGTTAGTCAGGGCCGGATTTAGGGGGGGGCAACCGGGGCGAAAGCCCCGGGGCCTCCACAAGCAGTGGGCCTCCACAATAGACTTCGGAAAAAAAAATCTTTCAAATTTCAACTAGTAAACCTAGTAAACATCTTTTCTTTGTTACTTTTTTTTTCGCTTTTACCTTTACCTACAGCCTAAAGTACTTTATACATACATGATTATTTGTTCACTTTAATCAGGCAATCAGTGAAATATCAAAATCTCAAATGGCTCTGATAAGCACTTCCAATTTACTACCCATCTTGAGGGAGTACCCCAATGGCTCAATGGCTCAGTGGGATGGTACTTGCCCGCAACCTCGGAGGTTGGCTATTCAATTCCGTGTCTCGACCATTAAAAAAATTAATTGCAGTATGTGAACAATTGGTATTCTTCAATTCTTAAACTCGAAATCTGTCGAGCGTCCTCGAAATCTATCGAGCATCCTCGATCGTTTTCGAGCGTCCTCGAAATCTATCGAGCATCCTCGATCGTTTTCGAGCGTCCTCGAAATCTATCGAGAGTCCTCGATCGTTTTCGAGCGTCCTCGAAATCTATCGGGCGTCCTCGAAATCTATCGAGCGTCCTCAAAATCAATCGAGCGTCCTCGATTGTTTTCGAGCGTCCTCGAAATCTATCGAGAGTTCTCGATCGTTTCCGAGCGTCCTTGATCGTTTTCGAGCGTCCTCGATTGTTTTCGAGCGTCCTCGAAATCTATAGGGCGTCCTCGATCGTTTTTGATCATCCTCGATTGTTATCTATCGAGAGTCCTCGATCGTTTTCGAGCGTCCTCGAAATTTATCGGGCGTCCTCGATCGTTTTCGAGCATTCTCGATTGTTTTCGAGCGTCCTCGAAATCTATCGAGAGTCCTCGATCGTTTTCGAGCGTCTTCGAAATCAATCGAGCGTCCTCGATTGTTTTCGAGCGTCCTCAATCGTTTCCGAGCGTCCTCGATCGTTTTCGAGCGTCCTCGATTGTTTTCGAGCGTCCTCGATTGTTTTCGAGCGTCCTCGATCGTTTCCGAGCGTCTTCGATTGTTTTCGAGCGTCCTCGAAATCTATAGGGCGTCCTCGATCGTTTTTGAGCATCCTCGATTGTTTTCGAGCGTCCTCGAAATCTATCGAGAGTCCTCGATCGTTTTCGAGCGTCCTCGAAATCTATCGAGAGTCCTCGATCGTTTTCGAGCGTCCTCGAAATCTATCGGGCGTACTCGATCGTTTTCGAGCATCCTCGATTGTTTTCGAGCGTCCTCGAAATCAATCGAGCGTCCTCGATCGTTTTCGAGCGTCCTCGAAATCTATCGGGCGTCCTCGAAATCTATCGAGCGTCCTCGAAATCAATCGAGCGTCCTCGATCGTTTTCGAGCGTCCTCGAAATCTATCGAGAGTTCTCGATCGTTTTCGAGCGTCCTCGATTGTTTTCGAGCGTCCTCGAAATCTATCGGGCGTCCTCGAAATCTATCGAGCGTCCTCGAAATCAATCGAGCGTCCTCGATCGTTTTCGAGCGTCCTCGAAATCTATCGAGAGTTCTCGATCGTTTTCGAGCGTCCTCGATCGTTTTCAAGCGTCCTCGATTGTTTTCGAGCGTCCTCGAAATCTATAGGGCGTCCTCGATCGTTTTCGAGCATCCTCGATTGTTTTCGAGCGTCCTCGATTGTTTTCGATCGTCCTCGATTGTTTTCGAGCGTCCTCGAAATCTATCGAGAGTCCTCGAAATCTATCGAGCGTCCTTGAAATCAATCGAGCGTCCTCGATCGTTTTCGAGCGTCCTCGAAATCAAGCGAGCGTCCTCGATCTCAATCTGGAAAATAATTTGGGGCAAGGGGGCCTCCACTCCTTTGTTGCCCCGAGGCCTCTGGACCCTTAAATCCGGCCCTGAGGTTAGTTATAAGATGTAATCGGATTGTTAAAGACCACTCTGATTATCTTAAAATTATGCACATATACCTAATAGAATACCACAGATGGGGCCCAATAGGGCCGATGCCGATTCGGAGTCGCGGAGAACCTAACGGGTAACCGGGGCTCCGGCTCGACGTGCAGGAGAAGGAACGGGGTGGTTTTTAGTCAGTAAGAGTCTGACACTCCCTTCCGCCTCACCCAGGCGGGAGCAGTCATTCGATGATTTTCCCTCCTTAAAAAAAAAAAAACCTAATAGAATAACGTTAGATACCTAAAGAGGTATCCTACTAATTCGAAGTTTAGGTGTCGTACCTGCCGACTGCTGACCATTTCTAATGTCGTAAATAATATTATATGTTCTGAATCTGCTATATTTAAGTGAAAACTATGGGTCATGAACAATTATAAAATAAAAAAAATTGTAATAAACTATTATTGACTGACGTCAAGACACACGATTCAAATAGTTTGCTCGATTTCTGTAATTAGGGAGCACGGCAGTGTCCCCAACCAAGTTCAGTTTGTCAATGCGATTAGTTTAACCACTTTGTAGGTACCTTGTTATTTAAAACCTGGCTGACATAGGTAAGTACTTACCTATTATTCTTTCAATGTGAAGAAAGATAATTATAAGTCTTAAAAAGTATTTCAAACTACACTGCCAGATCTGCTGCGCCATCTAGCCGCCAATATGAAAAAATATAAAGCGCCAACATACAGCCAGTGGTGCGCAAGAACGTAAGTAAAATAATATTGTTATGGAAGTCAGTTTTTGGGAATTAAAAAAAGACAAATCAAGTCTGTATATAATTTTTATTATTTTCTACAATGGCTACAAATGTATAAAATATCAGTCATCTTAACATTAGCATTTATTTGTTAAAACAAAAGGTAATATAATATCATAGAAATGTCTAGCCGCTTATAAACCAACTGATCAAATACAGAAATCATAGAAAAACATATATTCGAGTTTTCTTTAAAAAATTAACATAGTGATCGTTACTATGGCCAAATTATTTCTCTAATAAAAAAACGTCTCTCGAACCGTGATGACTTATTTTCATTTTAGAATATTTGTAAGACGATTTTTACTCACTAATATTCAACCCGTTTGCAAAAAATGTAAATCGATGGCTGAAAGGCTAATTGATTAATGATGATTAATGGATGATTTTCCACGACAGTATCTAGAGGCAATTTTTCACTAGTTACGTCATGAATCCCAAGTAATAGGATGTCAGATTACCTACTACCATAATTCCCAACATAAAAATTACTCCACAATAACGATCACATATTTACACAATATGACACCTAATTACATTAATACAAACTTCTTTTTTTAAAAAAAAAACAATTATTTTATTATGCCTATGTTTTTCGCTTATTGCACAGTTTACATATTATATTAAAAATCTAAACTATATTGTAAAAGTTGAGTAAAATTAATCAGAAGCAATTCGCATTTCTTTTTTACATTTTTTTTATGTCGATTATAAATCGTTAATTGCTATCATATGTAATTGACCCTTCAATAATTAATGCAGTTGTAAAGCTATTATAGGTATAGATGTTACATTTATACCTACTTTTTGTGAATAAGACTAGACTGAAATATCATTTTAAACACATTAAAGCTTCATAATAATAAAATTCAAATATTGGGAGCATTTTGGAAAGTTTGCTAGTACATCCTAAGCCCTTATTTATAAAATTGACAAGCTGATTTCCATTTAATTGTTATAGCATCCCATATTGCGTTGAAGGGTAAAATGCTTTAATATTTTCTTTATTTAAAATCCTTATTTATAAAATGCCATGATTATTTAAAAAACTATGTATATCAAGTACACCTTAACACCCTCAGATTATATAAAAAATGGATAAAATCGAGTCCAATTCAATTGTTTCTCTCTAAAAACTATCAACAGCTATGTCTCACTTATTATACTTAAACACATAGATAATAATTTACTTTTTTTTCAATAAAATATATGTTGATAAATGACTTAAACAAATAACTATATACTTAAAAACTAATGAGATACGAGCCAATACAATGTCGAGTATGCAAAATTTACAAATATAAAAGTCTAATATACGTAAAATTCACTACATGTCTAAAGAATAAGAGATGTGTTTGTCTATTAGGCTAAGGTAACCTGTCTGTGTCGTTATACAATTCTAGTTTTTATCTTCTTCCCAATTTGTCAGCGTCAATACTAATCGCTATTTTAGCCTGTTTGTCTATCACAATATATATTTTTTTTATTTAATAGATCCAGAAGCTCACAATTCCTAATCTACGAACATACTCAGTTAACACAGATCATTTAAAATTTTATTGCTACCAAAGAAACTAAAGGCCACATTTTTTATATAATGCCATCTGTCGGATTACGATGGAACTACGAACATCACGAGTTAGCTTACGTAACGCAAACGTAGTACGCATATCGCATGATCTTATTCCTACTTGAAAGAATGATTCTCACTAACGATTTTCTAAAATAGGGTAATCCAGCAACAAGCACTTTTAAATATAAAATTTTTGGTCCAAATAATGCTGCAGCACAGATGTAAATTGCCAAAGAAATATATAATTAAAATGTGACAACCCTCTACTTGGGTCTCTAGTCTGTAGTGGTAAGGCTGTCTACGGCCTCCATCAGGCTTGGCACTGAGTCTACCTTCATTCCACGCCGACGAAGGTCATTCAGTTCCTCCACTAGCTTAGACTTATCCCGGCCGAGCGTCTCCCTGAAAAACCAAACAAAAAAATTATTATGTGCGATGTATTGGATAAATTCGGTCAGTTATTCTATGTAGTAGTAGATATTATGACATAATAACTAATTTTCGAAAATAGTCGTGGTCTTAATAATCTATTTATCTAACCATCCAAGATATCCGGATTTCAACTCACACATAAGTAGGTACAATCATTCTTATTTGACAGTACAGAAATATTGGTACCTGTTGGTATTGTAAGCAGTCTATGACAATTTATCCTTATTGGCATTACACATTATACATGCTATGATATAAAATATGAATAGAATGAATAAAAGCACTGTAGCAAAATTTCTCAGTAGCAGCATGGGGTCTAGAATTGTATATGGCAATAGGCTCACCCCCTATTACATGGGACTCATAACATAAATAGTGAAAAGTGGGTGCTACATTATGCAGTGGCATAAATGACGCAATTTGCACCACTGTCTACCCCTTCGGCGATGCAAGGCGTGATGTTGTGTTTTATAATATGAAGTATTGTAGCTCACCAGAACAGAATATTATCAGTTTAAAGATAATATATTTACCTACATGAAAACTAAGTACATTACTTATGCTATCCTCAAACAGTTCAATGAATTAAATTGCACTTATCAGTTGTTTACACGTAAGTAATCAATCTTCCCATTGTTTAAGTTTCATCACTCATAGCCCAACTACAGACAACAAAACAAAATTAGAGATCAAACAAATGAGTGAATTACAGAACAGAAGATAACTCGTTATTAATCCTTTTTTTTATCTAACCTTGACAGTTCACAATATTTGCATAAAAAAATAATTGAAATAATACGATAAATACGCTATAAAAAACAAAGTGCAAATTGAATCAATGATAAAATTATTATGACGCTTGTTTTTCCCCGCAAAACCGCTTTTATGCAGTTACGACTATTAGTCGCATGGTAACGGGGGTCAAAAGTGTACCAAGAGTTAAAATAGGGAAGATTAGTAATTAGAGATTGCAAACCGGGCCATGTCCATGAAATCAACTAGCTTTGAAGCTGAAAGGGATTTTTCGGCGGCACGGTATATTTGCACGGGTTATTACCACAGATCGGGCCCAGTAGGGCTGATGCTTGAGCTGAGGACAACTTAACGGGTGATCGGCTCCAGATCAAAGTAGAAACGGGGTAGTTTTTAGTCAGTAAGAGTCTGACAGACTCGCCTCACCTGAGGCAGGAGATGTCATTGGATGATTCCCCTCCCCCCTCTTAAAAAAAAGGGGTATATCTGCAGCAAGTCACGAACCAGTTTAAGTGGTAACTAACAATACAATTTGTTATATAAGACCTTATGCAAGCATATATTTTTGTTTTTTTTATATTACACTTATGCAACAAGTCCGTAACATACATTTTGTTAGTTAAGACTACACAAGTTTACAAGGTACTTTATGCTGTATTATTGGTTTCATATTTTTTCAAATAACGAGTAAAGAGAGTATTAGTAATTATTCATTTTAATAAATAAGCATTATTTATAAACTTATGAAAATAAATAATTACTAAAACTGTACTGTAACATACTGTATTAAATGTTGAGTGAGACTGATTATTGTAACAATTATTTATAAGCCCATTGAAATAAATATATTTATTATTTACCTTGAATAATTGACTTTTTCCATTAATATATACAAAATTGGAATTAAAAGATTCATCACTAACATAAACCGAATTTGTCGAATTCGACCGGGCCGGGCCGGAAACAAATCAGGTTACAATCTCTATTACTCATACATTTTATAAGTATGATAAATAATAGTAGGTACATACTAACCAAATGGAAATACAAGTGTGGAGAAGTGGTACGTATATGAGAAGCAGGTCTGAGTCACTGACTGCTTCATAACGTTTCAGAGCAAGTTGTGCCCAGCGCTCTACTGGTCCAGCGAGAGTACCATCACTTGCCCCGGCGCAGGCCACGATACGGCACAAAGCGCCAAGTACCACGCGCGATCTATCCGTATATACCTGGAAAATAATTGACACATCAGACAACATTAATTTTTCTATTATAGTATTATTAAAATATGAGTCTGAGACAATAGTTGCTTACAAAATATCAATAGCTTTTTTATATCCAATGTTTTAACAAACATTTGTGTTCAATATCCATTACCTAAGATTCCAGTGCAAAGGTCATCTTAATATTTATAAACCCCAAGTAAATTACAACATATAGCAATATTTTTTTATGTGAGAAAATCGTAAAAATACATACCTTGTTTAATAATTTGAAACTCGTTTCCAACACTGAGAGTGCTTGGTCAAACTTGCCATCATTGATGAGTCTTTTAGCTTCAATTAGCTCAATGTCCTTGAAAAATGTGATAGCGGCCGGGGAGTCCCGGAGGCGGGATTCACTTGCTATCAAATCTAATAGTGACTCAAACGCTGCACATCGGGAGGAAATCAAGTTCGGATCGAAATTACCAACCACAATCTGAAATTAGTCAAATACTATTTATACTCCCTGACTAATGAAAACAGTTTTATGACAGACCAACACTAAAATATTGCTTACTTTAAATGACAAAGCTGTAAATGTAGCGATACTTATTACATTGTATAAATCTCTCATTTGTTACCAAGTATTTTACATACACAATCACATGACTTCTATATTAGGTAATGGTATACATAGTTGCTAATTAAATTGACCCAACTACCAATTACTGTTATTCAAATAAAACTTCTCCAATAACTATTTAGGGTAGTAGTGCTAAGTAACACAATAACATCACCGAATACGCCTACTTCACTAATTTCAAAGCGATACACATGACTCATAAATAAATTAAATAACAACGAACTACTCTTTTGTTTACGTACCTTTCTAGGGAATGAAATATTATTTAACAAAGCTGGAAATTCCTTCTTCAAGCCGTTGTACAGGTCTAAGAAGTGAGTGTATCGCCTCTCAACGTTCGCGGGGTCTGGATCCAGCACCCTGGATTCAGTAGCCTGCCTTGCTTGCACCATATAAGCTACGAATTTCTTTTCATTTTCAAAACCTTCTACTGTTCTTGAAGAAACTATTTCAAACTTTAACATGATTATTCTTTCTTGTTCTTAAATAATATCAACTTATTTGAATTGTATGAGTAACTTTTAGTTTTTAATTTGAATGACAGAGTGTGAACAAAGAACAAAATATTGCACTTTGTGAAGAAGTGTAGAACAGTAGAACTGCAAGCTGTTCAATGGTTTGACGTTTACTTTTGACAGCAATAACATTTATTTGACGTCGTTTTGACAGTCATTAAGCACAGATTACACACAATAGTGCACGCGGTTGCCGAAAATCGAAAAATGTATAAACACATTAATGAATCTGTTGTAGTTAAAAAATTAGTTTCTTTTAGAATAAACTAGCTTCTGCCCACGACTTCGTACGCGTAATCCTATTTTTTCCCGTTCGTGATTTTCGGTAAAAAGTAAAAAAAATAAAATTGGTAAAAAGTATCCTATGTCGGTCTCCTGGCTCTAAGCTACCTCCCTTTTTTTTTAAGGGGGGAAAATCATCGAATGACTGCTCCCGCCTGGGTGAGGCGGAAGGGAGTGTCAGACTCTTACTGACTAAAAACCACCCCGTTCCTTCTCCTGCACGTCGAGCCGGAGCCCCGGTTACCCGTTAGGTTCTCCGCGACTCCGAATCGGCATCGGCCCTACTGGGCCCCATCTGTGGTGGTCTGATGGCTCTTTGAGGCGCGCGCGGAACGCGGCGCGCCGTACGCTCGGGTCTGTTTCTGGTCGGACGGGGAGCCACCCATGCTCGCCGTCCGCAGGCCCGCGCTTACGGTGGCCGGAGATCGTCCCGCGATCCCCGACGCCCGGTGTGTCCTTCGCGATGGCTGGGTTGCGAGGAGGCAGCGCTTCGCTGCCTCACGCGTCCCGCCTCCTCCTTAGCTAGCATGACTGCTTCGCAAAAGGAGGAGACGGCATCCCAGTCCTCCTCGCTCCGCATCATGGCCTGGACTTGGCCCGGACGCGAGAGGTCGCCATCGCCGATCACTTCCCTGAGGGCACGGCGGTGCTCAGCCCATGCAGGGCATTCCGCTACAGTGTGTTCCACCGTGTCCTCAGGGCGGTCCTCGCAGTGATGACACCCGGGCGTTTCCTCCCGCCCCATCAGACACAGGTACCTCCCGAAACTTCCATGTCCGGTGAGGACCTGCGTCAGGCGGTAGGTGAGGACGCCGTAGCGTCTCTCAAGCCACTCCTCAAAGAGGGGACTTACCGCTGCAATGGCAGCGAGCCCAGCCCTCGGTTGCGACAGTCGTTGCTGCCATTCCGCCATGAGATCGCGCCGGAGCTCATCCCGCCACGCACTTATCTGGCGCGGCAGCGGAGTTTCGCCCCGGCGACGTGCCTCCGCGCGCATGCGATACACGCGCGCGAGCACCTTCGCCTCCAGATCCCACGGCGGTAATCCGGCAAAAGCTACCTCCCTACCAATTTTCAGCCAAATCTATTCTGCCATTCTTGAGTTATAAGTGGTGTAACTAACACGACTTTCTTCTATATATATAGATGAATTATAGGTTATGCACAACTTGCAGCATTAGTGCGATTCCCGTAAGCATTTGGAGACATCATAAATAAATAGTATTTGTTTGAGTGATTCATCAGCAGCATAAGCCAAGAAATCTTTGAGTTTTTTACTTGTTCTTGTTTTTTAATTTGTTTTTTTCCGTAGATTGTGAATTGTCTGCCAGATTCTGCGAAGTTTACATATATTGGCGATTTTAGCCTTGATTGCAAGAGAAATCGGTGCTCTTTGCGGTCTTATCTTTTAATTCAGGAGTAGGTTCTGGATCACGCCGCTATCTACATGAATCAAGTTGGTAAAATAGAGACGCATCTTCAACTTCTTCTTCTCTAATACATTAGTTCAGCAGTTGACATAGAACAGTATTTAAAGGTACACTCTTTGATTAAATATTCGAGTATTTTATCTCTAATCCGTAGGTAGGAAATCTATCTGGCCAAGGGCAAAAAACGTGGATTTATATATAATTCAAATATTAATTAAACTCCTAAAATTACAACGTTGTTTAAGTTTTAGGTTGATAAGAGGAAGAAAAAAGCAATAACCAACATTTACTCCTTTATTAATAGGCATAAATTAAGTAGCATAAATAAGATCTAAGTAAGTTTAAAATCATAAATAGACAAATGTTTAAAATAAATTCGTTAAATATTTTAAAAGGACAATATTTAGCGATCGATATCTCCAAAAACAATATCCACTGATGCAATAAGCATTGTAATGTCAGCGAGCATTAAACGCGGACCAATAACTGATAGACCAAGAATGTGATTCATTGAACATGGACGCAAATGCACACGATATGGGATGGACGAGCCGTCAGATACCATGTAAAGCCCTAACTCACCCTTAGGACATTCCACCGCAGTGTACGTAGCTCCAGGTGGCACTGGGTAACCCTCAGAACACAACTTAAAGTGATGAATTAAAGATTCCATTGACATTTTCATTTCTTTTCTTGATGGCATGCATACTTTGGAATCGTCCGTTTTATATTCACCCTCAGGCATTGTATCAAGAACTTGATTTACAATTCGTAGAGATTGACGCATTTCTTCGTATCGTAGTAGATAGCGATCATACATATCACCGAATGTGCCAACAACGCCATCGAAGTCGTACAGGTCGTAGCCATCATATGGGTGGTTAATTCTCATATCAAACTTAACTCCGCTCCCTCTAAGCATCGGTCCCGTAAAACCCAATGACATAGCATCATATGCATCTACAATACCCAGGCCTGCAGTCCTGGCATAAAATAATCGATTTGTTGTTGCCAAGTCTTCAGTTTCGTCGAAACGAATTCCCAACTTACTACATAGGTCGTAAATGTCATCAAGATAACCAATAGGAATGTCTTGTGATACACCACCAGGACGGAAATAACAGCAATGTACTCTGGCTCCACAAACTCGTTCAAAGATTTCATACAATTTTTCTCTTTCTTCACACATCCAAAAGAAAGGTGTTATACCGCCTGCATCGAGTATTGTGCCTGACACGTTTAAGATGTGATTAGCAATGCGAGACAATTCGGTGCATAAAATTCGGATAGCTTTAGCCCTTGGTGGGACTTCTATATTAAGAAGTCTTTCAACAGCAATACAGAAGCCTTGTTCATTCGCTAAAGTAGACACATAATCGAGTCGGTCCATAAAAGGTAGGCTCTGATTATAATGTTTGTGTTCCATTAATTTTTCGGTGGCCCTATGCAGAAATCCTACATGAGGATCGGCTCTGACTACAGTCTCACCATCGAGTTCCAGAATCAAACGCAAAACACCATGAGCAGCTGGATGTTGAGGTCCAAAATTGATGACCATGTTCTGAAGTTTGCGTTCAACAGGCCATAATTTGGAATGATATATCATTCTGTAGTATTTATTGGACTCTGGCGTGGGGTACATTGTCGAGCCTTGAAATTGCTTCAGATATGTTGGATCGGGGTACCATCTGTGTGAGGCATACTGTCTGTACTGAAACTGTCTCACTATATTTTGATTTACGATGCATCGCTTTATATTACTAAGCATTTTCGCTTACGAGACTTCAATAGATGTTTTCGAGATATTTTGACAATACTTTTAGAGCAATAAAAGATTGACATTTCAATGCTTTTGCTTGTCATTTTTTATAAGTCGCCAGTATGGGGATTAGGTCAATTACATAATTGAATTCCAAAATGGAATAATAATCACCTACTCTGTTGGACCACATACCCCCTCCAAGGACTACACTACACAACCTATAGACCTTGCTAGGCTAGTAGGTACAATCGACAAAATGAGTGCCTGAACTAGTTTAAAAAATCAATAAAAATATTAGTATTTTTGACACAAAGACTTACAACCTGTTGTTTTCCTGGTCAAACTTTTTAATTATAGTGATTGAATCATAAACAAACGAAAAATCTGCGCAAGTTTAGGTAGATAGGATACAAAAACCCTTATTTATTTTTTTATGTTCTCGGTTTGTTGTCCGTCTGTCCGTTGATAATACCACAATTTCCTACGAAACGTCATTCGAGGGAAAAAGGTGCTGATGTTGTAGTGATGTCCATGAGTGGTGCTGGTTGCCTACCATGAACTGACCTATCACACCTTTGATTGAAGGAACCAACCAATCAGAGCGGCGAACGCTTACTCATTTCGATTACTCTACTATTACTACGTAGTGTAAAACAATGTCGCTATCCGCCGTCTATCCGTCCCTATGTATGCTTAAATCTTTAAAACTACGCAACGGATATTGATGCGGTTTTTTTAATAGATAGAGTGATTCTTAAGGTTTATATGTATAAACATAAAACAAACTCGTACTAAGGCCTCAGTTTGATTTAAAACGTTTTGGGTGTTGGATTTTTTTTATGGCATAAGCCGGTAAACGAGCAGACGGATCACCTGATGGTAAGCAATCGGCGTCGCCCATGGATACCTGGAACACCAGAGACGTTACACTGGAACACTAGTGCGTTACCGGCCTTTTGGGGATTAGGAGTTTGAGGATCGTTGGGGATTCAGGAATTGGGGAGATTGGGGAAGGGGAGGGTAATTGGGCCTACCTACGGTAAACTCACTCACACGACGAAACACAACGCAAGCGTTGCTTCACGTCGGTTTTCTGTGAGGCCGTGGTATCACTCCGGTCGAGCCGGCCCATTCGTGCCGTGTGGGTGAAAACAAAACTCATATACGTATTCTTCAATGTATAATTTTAAATTAAATCGTGTTTGTAGTAGTTACTTAGATAATATACACATTTACATAATAAATAGACATTGACATGTACAATATTATATGTATAATTCATGTCTGCATTTCATTACATTTAGTTGTTTTACTAAATTTCATACTGAATCGGTTACACTTCTTGATATACCTACATACTTTTAAGACACTGACAGTCACCTTATTAAAATTATCAAGCTAATCTACAAGGTGTTAAAGGAACGCTCCCAACGGGTGATGGTAAAAACAAGTTTTATTATCATAAAAGTAAGGAATTAAATGTTTCTTTTATGTAATAATAGTTGTAATCAACTGTTATTAAGGCTGATATTACATTAATATTACATAAGGTGGACTTAGTGCCTGCGGCATTAAGTCCACCTTATGTACGTTTTGTGCATGAAGCTTTATAAATAAATAAATCAATAATAACACGAAAAAAAACCACTAACGTCCATATACAACACCAGTACCTACCTATATTAATAAATACGTCATATAAAAAAATACAAACTGTATAAATAAATAAATTGTTACTGCCTACAAAAGTTTGAAAAGGTACACTTATCTCAAAACAGTTGTAAAAAAACGTAGCAAAATTAACAAGTTTAGCCTTTAGGCCCTTAGCTTTAGGTTTAATAAAACAGTGCTTTGTAGGAATGTCAGTACTTTATCTTTATGGGCCCTATTTCCATTAAGACGCTATGGTTAGAAAACTAGACACGCCACTCTGATGTCTCAGCAGACAAATACCAGGGTTGACGTCAACCAGTTGATTGTGCAACTAAGTTGACTTCAACTGGGAACTGTTGGTCTCGAATTAGTCAGACAAATAGCATTTAAACAAGCGAATAGATTTTTTTTATATTTATTTGGAACTAGCAAACCAGGCGAACTCCGTTTCGCCACAAGTTGGCTTCGTTTTATATAATATTTCGTTTGGTGATTAAAAGTGAATTTTCTTTACTATAAACCTCACGGAGCCCGAGACTTTTCCAACGAATGCAAAACCGTGGAAATCGGTTCTTGCGTTCTGGAGTTATAGCGTCAGGAAGAAAAGCCCGACTTATTTTTATATAGTAGAAGATAGAAAATTACCTACGCAAATTATGTCAAAATGTATGCCAAATAGCCTTTAAAATCCATTCAACTAGTTAGGGTCAAGTGACCCTTTAATTCCGCAACCTAATCGAACCACCATATTGTCTTAATGAAATAGACCTCTTAAATTATATAAATAGGCTCTTAATATCTACAAGTTTAAATAGCGTTAGATGTTCAGAGAGCAACGACGACATACCGTTACAAATAATATATTTAAAATAGTTTAGCATAGGAGTAACATTGTTTTTATAAAGATAGAAAAAGCTTTATTTATGATAGCCAGGTATTTAGTTTCTAATTCGGTGTATTAAGGGTGGAAGTGCCTTTTTGTCGTTTTTTGTCACTATGAAAAACGTTGTCTTTGAAAATAATATATCAAAATTACCTACCTACAGTCTACACAATAGAGTAAAATTAAGATTCACGCGAAGAGCAGATTTAATGGCGACCGTTTATGAATACTGAGTTGGTTTTATATTCATAATAATGAATGTGTATTCCGATATTTCTTTCTTACCCTTTCTATTTGTTACCAAGTAATCTATTATCAGTATAAACGTAACGAGTATTCATTTTACTGACAACAGCAGCAAACAAGCACTAAGCAACAACAGGTAAGTATACAAAGATTTAATAAATATTTTTGTATAACAAACCCATTTATGATACGCTCGCAAACGTATACAATATTTATCACAGTACCTAACACGTAAACAAGAACTATTTCGAAACAATGCGGCAGCACATTAGGTACCTATACGATTGGTCCTTTACATTTTAATATCTAAACATGATTTATTTATTTGATACGTTCATTATCATTACATGATTACGTCAAAAATGTATCCCAACATTTTCGACATTTCAATCTAAATCCAAATGGTACTTTCAAGTGTTTCAATTCGACATCTTTTCATTGGATTCTACGTAAATACATGAGCAAAGTTTCTGTAGGAACCTTAGGAAGCAAGCGGAGAGACAGTTGTACATGTCAGGCTTGCTCTTCCACTTGACACAGAGGTAGTAAACAGGGATCCCGGAGAGGAGGATGGCGATACCAATGGCTGTGTCTTTGGGTCTTGTGATAGCTGGGATGAAGACTAGGCAGCCAATGGCGATCAGGAACACGTACGGAATGATGATATTAACTTTGATTGGCCGAGGTATGTCTGGCTTGGTGCGACGCAGCCACAGCATTCCGACGACCGAAGCACCCACGGACAGCCACAACGTTTGCGAGAAGTAATTGATGAGATCAAACACGTTGCTGGTCGTCAACATCAGGAGAGAGAAGAAACACTGAAAATTTACACAAAACTTTATCAGCTATTTTGTTTATATTAAATGAGATATCTGTAGAAAAGACATTTCGTATTATTTAGGCTTATGAAAATGTTAATTTACTTACAGTGAACATAAGGGAAGGTATAGGCGTCTGCTTTTCAATGTGGAAAAGTGAGAAGAAAGCAGGCATGTGTCCCTCTTGTGCACCGGTCGCGAACAGTCTTGCTGATGTGAACAAAACACCGTTGACCCCTCCGAATGTAGATAGCGCTACGAATACAGGGATCATCCAGCTCCAGCCAGCAAATAATCGGTCTCCAAACACCTGTCAATAAAAAAAAGTAAGTACTTACAAGAATTATTTTTAAAAAGTCTTAAATTAAAGTTCTAGACACACTGAGTGAAATGATTCAGTGTGTGCATGCATTCATTAAACAATGCACCTACAATAAGGAAATTAGTGTAAAGTGGGTCAAGTAAGAAGTTAGTCGATTGTACCTGTGTACAGCGAACTTTTGTTAAAGGTGTCTTCTTATTGCACATGATATCAGGCATACGATAAATAGCGATGAATGTACAATGTTGTTACGTTACTATATATATATCCAATCCTTCTAAATATTCTCAGAATTTTCGCCATCATCAAATTCCAAAGATTGATTCGTTTGTTTGTTTAACTATATCCGTACGTATAAACTGAGTAAATATGGGTATTGGTACTATGTAAGTACATAAGTAGACATTTTTATGTATTTCAAAAGTTATTATGTCGCCGCGCCACGGGTCGCGGAAGGTCATGAATATGAGCCTCCATCATGGCTCGAAACGAAACGAAGTCGAGTTTCTCGTCAAATAATTACGTGAGTAAGCCGAAAAACATAATTATTACTTTAGTATGTCTCACGAAAATTATAGCATAAATATTTCAAATGTTATATTGATATTTCCTACATTATGGTTAGAGAGGTGAAACCGCGATATAGAGCAGTAGTTGTTGTATTGGTACAAAACTTAATAAATAATTATAAATACCTCCGTTGTTATAAATAAAGACAAGCACATAGATATGAATATTATGACCATAAATAAATAAATCAATCATTTACTACCGCTGAATGTTAGCAAAATAACAATTCTGAGAGATATGACCGTAGTGAATGGAAATGAATGGACATTACTTGTCATGTTGGCTATTTCTGGAGAAATTATGTACTACAATTAAATATGAGCATCTTTCAACGTAAATAACTCGTTTGTATTTTGTATACTTAGTAGTATTAGACACTAGGAAACAAAATATGGACTTGTGCCCGGTATACGGCAATAGGCACACCCCCTCTTACATGAGACTCACAACATTAATAGTGAAAAGTGTGTGTTACATTGTACAGTGGCATAATATGTACCTCTGCCTCTGCTAAAGTCAATTAAAAATTGTGAAAAAATCTACCGAGTACTTGACTCAACCACATTATGAGATCTCGAAATATTTTTTGTCAATAACTATTCCTTATTATTCCGACAAGGTCTATAATTGTTACTATTGTGAAACAAGTGAAACAAGTGAAGTGAATTTATTTCTGCAAATAGGCTACAAGGCAGCACTTTTACACGTCAATTTTATCAAGCGAACGATGAGGTCGACATTTCCTAAATGACTACTCTGAGAAGAAATGCCGAAACAAACTCAGAGGTCTGTCTCTTTTAAAGTCCAGACAATATGTATAATAGATTATGTGTGAGAACCGTGCAAGTTCTTTCTGTAATGGCCTCATTGGGATTTCCAACGACCTATATGGGTACATTATGGATGCAATAAATATTTGATTACTTACTTGAATATTAACTCTTTTATTGGATTAGTACACTTTGGTACCTAACAAAGTAAAAATTTACTTTCAGACACCTATACGAAAATAAAATGAGACATGAGGATGACCATCGAATAAAATTGATACCATGTGTAAACCTAGGATTATAAAAATACCCACAGTTTAAAACGGTCACTGTGGTTACATCATTCATAATGTTTAACTTAATAGTTTTCCTGATCTACAGGTAATACTAACTACCAAGTAGTACCACTGGATAAACGTCCTTATTTTATTAGCGATAGAGTTTATGAATCTAATAATTTTAATGTTTTTAATGCTCGATGTTCTTTATGACCGGATAGAAACTTCTTCCTGGAATTTACTCGTAAAAATATTTTTCGTGATGATCTTGCAAATGAATCACAGTACAAATTCTTATTATATTTAGGTAGGTAGTACAGACTTTTATTTAATTTTTAGCCTTTTTATCATTATTAGAGAAGATTTTAACGAAACTGAACTGGTGATCCCTTAGGGCGTGCGCACGGTGCGGGCGCCCGCGTGGCGTGATGTTCCATGTAATCATAGATCAGCGTGCGCCGAGCTATCCGCTGCTGCATGCAGCGCTGATCTATGAGATTACATAGATACAGATGAAACAGCACGCCAATCGGGTGCCCGCATTCGGGTTCATTCCTAACGCAGCGCAAAGCCTTATAGTAGCTGACAGTAGCCAACGATGAGGTTTTCATAATAAATATCTCACTATCCCCCTAACAAACTAAGAGCCTTTCAAGGCATCGGTAAGAACTTGGCTATTTGGATAAATAAATTAAATTAATGAATATTAAATCTTACCGCAGCTACTGCAGAGTTCACAATCATCTCAGATTTGGTGACGACAGCAAAGTACGCCAAGTTCGCCATCACGTAGATAATAGTCACCATCGGCATAGCGATCCATATCGCTCGGGGCAAATTCCTGAAACAGGGAGGAATGCACTTAAGTATAGCCCATAAAAACTTATTATACTCTATGTAGAATATTTTACATAACATAGCCATATTGTGCAGTTTATTGTCTTCCTTATTGCAGGAGTAATAAGATTTTTTTTTGAATAAATAATTTATGAAAGACATAATTTTGAGATTACATATATTACTATTACTAAACAATAAATTTAAACAGGATACATACATAACATCACGCCTTTTATCCCCGAAGGGGTAGGCAGAGGTGCGCATTATGCCACTATACAATGTAACACCCACTTTTCACTATTTATGTTACGAGTCCCATCTAATAGGGGGTGAGCCTATTGCCATATACCGGGCACAATTCCAGACTCCGTGCTACTACTGAGATTTTTTTAAAAACCCAGTAATACTTTGCCCGACTCCGGAATCGAACCTGAGACCCCTTGCCCGGCAGTCGCACTTGCGACCACTCGGCCAACGAGGCAGTCAGATTATGGACTAAATACTCTTATGTCTGTCTAATACTTCACTAGATTAACTTATAGGTTACCCTTTTAGAAATTTATTTGTTTAAAAACTGTAAAAGGAGACAATAATACCTAATATTTAGAGAGACAAAGAACTAAGAAATAAATGCATGAAATGAAGGTACCTATCTATTCCCTCTCAAGTAAATAAACCGAATTGTCTAGTTCACTACTCACAATGAACTGCGAAACGTCGTGATGAATAAAACATGCAATAGAAGAGAGAACACTCAACACTTGCCTCCATAATGAATACAATAGCATCCTTTTGCCACCATTCCTTAGTATCTAACACCTAGTCCTTATTTTTCCCGTAACATCATTATTCTGTTTTCCTGACCTACTTAAAATGTACCTACAGAAAGTGCATAGGTAGAAACCTGTGTAATAAACATATAATTATAATAATATGTTGACGCGAATGTCACGTAATAGGTCATTAGAATTTGAATGTGTGCAAAAAATAAGGTTATGGTAGGTCAAGCTTCTAATTGGTCGATTGTACCTACAGATTTTTTTATACTTGTAAAGGACACAACATGGACATGTACATTGTACATTTTATATTACCCTTTGTGTACCGTCATTATAGACACAATTAAAGAACAATAGGTTGCGGTCACCGGTGTCCTCGAGTTTTTGACAGTTTAAAAACAGAATACTGAAAATAAATATGTCTGTGTGCAAATACCCAGCAACTTTCTCTCTTTTTAAATTCCACCCCATCGATGCTTATCAATCACATATTCCCAAATCATAATACACCATTATTTTTAAAATCCCATTCTGAAGTTACCACTGCGGAAAAAACGCTTCATTGATCAGCTTATCTGAAGCACACAGTCGAGCTTTAATCACAACTTCAAATAACAGAAAAGGGGAGAGTTTGCCGAACACTCCGTCAGACTACTTGAAAAGCATTAAAGAATCCAAGTATGTATTTAGTGTCCGACTTAGTAATTCTAGCCATTGTAGGCGAATAAAATATCAAATAGTCGATCTTGACACCAATACTTTTGTGTGCACTACTTTGAATGACGCAATTCGTTCATACGTTACATAAACTTTAGAATGCCACCTAATAGAACCTACTTAACTTATAGTAAATAGATTACTTCAACTGTTCCTTAGGTTTTGGACATGGATTAATAATAATAATATAATAATAATACATTTTTATTTGGAACAACATAGGAACCATTTTGTGTTAGTATGCGTCTTTTAAACTACAGCTTAAACACTAGGGTTAGTAAGTAACAACTTATTAAGTAACCATTAAGTTAACCAGTAAATGACTGGAGTACGGCAATTAATGCTTATATTCTACTAGCTGAACCCGCAACTTCGTCTGGGTTTTAAAAAAAGTAGCCCATGTAACTCCTACATTAGCTACTTGCCAATAAAAGTCTGTCCAGCCATTTCAGAGATTAGCCAGTACAATCAGAAAAATGTAAAAAGAGGTTTTAGTATTTTATGCATATGCATGTAGTAAAAAACGATTATTTCAATATTACAAACAGACACTCCAATTTAATTTATCTCTCTAGATTGAACTGTCGTAGAGTATTTGTCATTTCGTCTTCTCTTCTTCAGAAGAACCGACTATAGTCCTAAAGGATTGCACATTTGACTGATAAACCTACGCGATCTAGATACCAAAACTGGAGATTATACTTAATAAATCCTCCCATGGAGAGAACGCTCAAATCCCAGTACTGCCACGGGTTGCTTATTACGTAAATGTTGTTGAAGCATTAAAATACAAATGTGACCTAACCTAGATACTACTCGGTAGATACTGGACAAATAGTAGTATGTAGGTATCGGTAAAGATGCACGTGTTTCTTCCACAATGATGCCATTTCCGAACTGAGAATAAGGAAAGTCCTTTCTCATCTCGTTATAACGTAAAAGTTATTGCTAAAGTCGACAGAAATAGATACTTTTGCAAGAAAAATCTTATCTTGGCTAACATTTATTTTTCCTTTGTCCATTGATTTAATGATGATGCAGTGGTTGAGTAACCGACAAATGTTAAATAGTTATGTTACAAGTTCGATTCTCGAACGCAAAAGCTATTTGTTGGAACCAGAATTTTTTTCTATGGTATTAATAAGTCATTTAATATAACACAACAAGAAACCATATATAAATTACATAATTTTAATGGTTTTTCAAGAAATTGATTTTGGCATCTCATGCTGGAAAGCAATTGACGTCGGTCTTGGATACCTGGTCTTTGAAATGTATTGCTATTTTAACAAGAAAAACTCACTTGTATGGATCTTGTAGTTCTTCAGTGACGAAGTTGAGGTAGTTCCAGCCTCCGAACGCGAACAGTCCAGAGTAGAAGGCAAGGGCTATGTTCCCGGCGCTGAATTCCCCTTCAAAAGCTCCTTCGAAGTTTTCCGTATGACCTGAGAAAATGATATAGAGGAATGAATAAAAATATGAACATGAATAGAGAAAAGTAGAGGCATATAGCAATAGCTGTAACCAAATACGAGATGAACCGCTACAACTCCGTCAGGAATATATGACTAAGACGAAAAAAAACACATATGTATACAATATATTTACAATCATGTGTCAGAAGCAAACAGTATCACAAAACGATAATGACCCGAAATCGAACATGCTTCTCTGATCGCAGCGACTGTAGCAGTCGCAACAATATTGTAGCGTTTTTACATATTTTTTTAATTTGTTATAATTCTTTTGGTGGTGTCATGCGGAAATCTTAACACTGAAGGCCTGAGTTAAAGTTAAAGCAGATTAAAAACCACTGTCATACAATCTGTAAGATTGATTAAATATAAGTAAAGATGGATTACCTATATAAAAATGGAAACAGATTTAAATGATTAGATTATAATGACACTGGTCGTCGAAGTACTAGACAATAAACGAAGATAAAATTAATATATAATAATAACATCTACACGTAGTGTAGGCTTTACGAACTGTCAACATTAATGAGTAATATAATATAGGTAAATAAATATACTTCCATATAGTATTTCATCTCCGTACTACTTATCTATAAATTATACAAGAACCACGTTGATATACCGAATGGTCATTTTCCAGGAGGTTAACACATTTATGTGCCTTAACATAAGGTTCAAAATACGCATTGGATTCCATAATTTTTCCTACTAAAGACAGACGTATGATTAATTTATTGCGTTCATACATAATAATAAAGAGCCAGCTTATTTGATGCATAAATCATAATAATGGAAGAATGGCTTCATTGATAGCTTTGTTGTCAGTAAAACAGCATACTTCGTCGTGATAAATATGTGGTGTATGTACCTATCTGTGTACCTCCTTATGTTTATTCATATGAATTACGTTAATGGACATTAAATATCTACGTAGGTACCATTTTCCATGACATCTATAATAAATAATTTAGTAGGAACTGTATTAGAAACATGTAAAATACTAGCTTCTACCTACATGTTTTTTTATAATTGTCTGATTGTCTTGTAATTGGATTTAAACCTAATAACATAACATAACATAACACAACATCACGCCTTTTATCCCGGAAGGGGTAGGCAGAGGTGCACATTATGCCACTGTACAATGTAACACCCACTTTTAAACCTAATAATATTCTTATAATGCAAAAGGTACGAAAATTACTTGAAAATGATGTCAGGCCATGGCATTTTTTATTTTATTGTTGGACATACATTGACAAAATCCTTTTATCAATGACTAATGGCCGATTTTCCAATCATCAGTTAATTTTTTACTGTAGGCCAAAATTGACTTTTGACAGTTTTTAGTATCTATTGAATAATTGTCCAAATGTTCAGTCATTCCTCAATTAAAATTTGTCTGGTGTTGGAAAAATCGGCCCTTAATAGATGAAAGGTTAATTTATCTGACGGATGAGTTTGATACGCCAAAAACAACACCAGCGCCTCTAACGGTGCAAAAAGTAATGTTTTTGTCGCTATCAGTGTTTATGGACATTAATGAACTTTATACACTTTATACATCACGTAAAATGTTATTTCTAAGAATTTGTTATGTAACTAATTACATATGTTGTTAAATTTTTATTTTAATCAAGCTAATTTTAGTTGTACCTAATACAAAATTTTTACCGAATACGATTTCTGAGGTTAAGGTTCAACTAATGAGGTTATCATGTCATCTAATCTTTACCTAAATAAGTAGTAGCTTAATTTTTTAATTGGTGTATAATATACTACTACCCTGTAAATGATATCTGGGTATTGTTTCACTAGTAATGCTTAATTAACTAAAAATAGCTGGTTATTCACGTGAATACTTATATTGAGAAAAGCTCGATTAGTTTCGAGGCACAAAGGGGCTCTTCCTCATGAGTAGCGTGCGCGGTCGCAGCTTACTGATCGCCGCGACCGCGACCGATGATAGTTATTATAAAAACATATAGTAATGCTTAATATAATTGTTATGGAAGTTCCATTACTTTATCTATTATGAAACGTTTGCAGATACATCTGTATTATGCGTAGATGAACTATGTATCACGAATTCACGATCATGTTAGTCTCCTGTAATACGTGGTCTCTCCACGTATTACAGGAGACTTATTAACTTATTGTGACACAAATATCATTTTTTTAAATAATTACCTTTTATCTACTCTCGATAGAACTGTGCCCTGCTTAATACTAATTCAGATATTTAATGCCCTTCAACTTTCTACACTTCAAAATTATGTAATATACCTTCCTAATACATTATAAAGAGAATGTTTACAAAAAACACGTTGCTACTCAATCATGATCTACTGAGATACTATCAAGGTTTAGTACCTGCGGCCCTTCAAACTTTCTACACTTTCTATTTCATTTGTTAATGAAGTAATCAAATAAAAAATAGCTGTAGACAGGTGGACAGGCGAGCTCAGTCACTTTCTTATTACGTAATAATATTATGTGATGTCAATGGAACACCAGCCTATAAGTACCATAGTACAAGTCGATAATAGTACCTAATTACTTAACCCGGCGAGCATGAGGCGAAAAAAAGTTACTTCAAGAATGTGGCAGGGTGTGACATACCCTTATCTTAATGTACCGTAATATAGTTATTTTTATTATTATTTTTATTTTGTTGATTTTATTTTGTAAAATAATGAATTATTTAATGGAGTTAAATGAAAGAAGTTCTTTTTAAATAATAATGTTTTATTTATTCATATTTATTTTATACGATGTAATTTTAGGAACAAAGTAATAAGGTTTTACAAAAATTAAGAATTCAACAAAATTATTGTTCTTTGGAATGGAAATCAACTTAAAACTAAAAGATAATGAGATCCACCTCGTAAAAAACTAATAAAGTATTTTTTTTATTGAAATAGGATTAATTAGCACTGTTGAGATCAGCACAATTTTCGCAAATATATTTTGCATGTTCCAAACATAAATATGGGCTTGCCACACGCATTGCAGGAATGTTTAGTTTTTTTGTCCTTCTAATATGGATAATCCGGGCATCTGACATATCGTCTGGGTGCAATTGTAGGTCTAGGTGAGGGTTCACCGAGCTGCAAGCTTGTTGAATCATCACCTTCTTGCTCCGTATCAGAATTCACTTCATGTTCACTACAATGATCAGAGTCTTGTTCTGAACTGGATTCTCCAGAAGAATCAGTTGCTGCCTCTTCCAACATAGCACGAATCTGTTCCTCTTGACTTTCAATATCCATTTTAGTCAAAAACTAAAAAAATAAAATAATGGAAATGTTCAATAAATGAACGAATAACAAAAATCTAAAAACAACAAACAAAAAGCAACAAAATCTGAAATTAATTGAAAAAAAAACTAATAAAACAGTTAAAATTCATTCATAAATCATTACGTAAAATAAATATGTCAAAAATGAGGCAGGGTAAAACATACCCGAGACAAGTTTGTGCACGTATAACTTCGCCGATGCCTCGCGCCACACTGCAATCACGCCACTACCCGGTCCCGCACGCCCCTACCTTCAGCTACTAACCGATCTAGTGTCGCCAGACGAGGATTTTAAAATGTACAGCACTTTTAAATTTTAACAGGGTATGAGATACCCTGGATCATGCTCGCCGGGTTAACACCTATCATTATACAGTGTTAGACGCATCGTATGCCAAACACCCTGTATTATGTTTTTATGGTATAAGTTAGTAAACGAGCCGATGGACCACTTGATGGTAGGCATGAGGCATCGCCCATAGACACCTGGAACAGCAGAGGCGTTGCAACTGCATAACCGGCCTTTTGGGATTAGAAATTTGAGGATTGTTGATTGGATTCAAGGATTGGAAAAGGGCGTGGGGAGTCCCAATTATTGGCATATACCGGGCACAATTTCAGACTGCGTGCTACAACTGAGATTTTTTTTAAAACCCAGTAATACTTTGTCCGTCCCGGGAATCGAACGCGAGACCCTAGCCCAGCCCAGCAGTCGGACTTGCGACCACTCAGCCACCGAGGCAGTCATATTATACATACATTCCAATACAGTACATGTCTTCTACTCATGACTCATAGCGTTTCTGTAAACACTCTAATAAAATCTAATAACTACGTTTGTGGCGATATAATTAATTAATCTAGTTGTGCCAAGCCCCTAGCCAGATGCTATTTACTGAATCTGTCTCGGTCTTCTTCCAGAACATTTCCTTCTGAGAATGAACAGACATGTGGCGGACAACCCACGTCAATAAAACTGTTAGAAAATTACGATACCGTTTATCAATCCCACAAGCTAAATAAGTTAAATTATCTACATCTTGTAATACCTTCGTTAGCTATTCTACAATGATAATAATTAAAATTTTACACGCCACTCAATTAAAATACAATAAGTTTATATTTCCAGTAGCATGCAAGTGGATTTTCATAAATAATAAGTTACGAGAAACCTATAGCTAGTTAGTGCTTCAGGGTCTGCTTAGGGTATTTTCACCCAGGCGCCCAGGGCTCCAGATAGACATACAGCTAATCAAAACTGGTATTAAGTAGGTACTAACTACAGATATGTAGTTAATATGTTGGAAACAAGGAAAAGTGCCACTGGATTAAAAAAAATCTCAGTAGTAGCACGGAGTCTGCAATTGTGACCGGTATATGCCAATAGGATCACCCCCTATTACATGGAACATATAACATAAATAGTTAAAAGTGGATGTTACATTGTACAGTGGTATTAATTAGTAATGTGCACCTCTGCCTACCCCTCCGGGGATAAAAGGCGTAATGTTATGCTAAGTACAGATATAATAAAGTTGTAAATAATACTGGCATTTATGGCGACATGTTTTACTATAATATTTCCAGAATGGATCCGCCTGTTTGGATTGCTATATCAGTAAGCAGTGTATGGAAAAGTTCATAGACGTCCATAAATAGCCAGCCACATTAACGACGACATAGTTTCGTTGACCCCTGTAGATACGGTAATTACAATATCTTCCTAATTAAATAAACCATTAGGATAGACAGTTAGTATATCCTATCCTATGTTTTTTAAATCTTGTGTAAAATAAATATCTGGTTTATCTAAAATATTTTATCAGGTAGCTTTGAATTAATTTAACAGACAGACAGATTGCATACTTCGAATTGGACCAGTACTAGGAAGTTGCATCAAGTACAAATTACTATATCAGACTCCAGGGTTCATAAACATGAAAATCATTGTGTCTAGTACCGTCTCTACCACAAGGGTACTCGGGACCCATGTGGGGCCATGAAGGACTGATAATCTCTACGACAGACACCCACTTCGCACACACACGGACGGGTTCGATTCCGAAAGCAAATCTTTGTGTGATCCAGAAATTGTTGTTTCGGTTCTGGGTGCCATGTGTACGTTAACTTGTATGTTTGTAAATTCACCCACGATACAGGAAAAATTCTTAGTGTGATGCATAATTACAGAAAAATAAACATTTCACAAGGGCCCCGATTTATGTGTGCCAAAGGGCCCCAGGGTAGACTAAGACAACCCAGATCGTGTCTCTGCTAATCTCTTCACGTGATGACCCTAATAATTGAGAGGAGAGATAAGAATATCCAACCAAAACATGGTATGAATAGGGATGATGACAGGGTTTGAAAATTAAAAATCTAATTAGTCCGTCATTTAGGTATTGAAAAAATATTAGACACGTATTTTTTTATTTTGTTGTATAATAAAATGATACTTAGATATAACGAATCAAAGTTTAGGAGTGGGGGCTGAAACGTCATTTCTACATATAAAATGTACATAGAAATGACGTCACGCAACATTTCAAATCAATATATCAGCAAAAGTATTCGTTTCTGTAAAAAAATAAAAAATACGTGTGTAAAGTTTTAAAATAATCTACCAGACGGACATTAAAATAAAAATTAGTCATCTACTCTATTCTCAGTAATCCATCCATGGGATCCATAATCAAACGTGATTGTGCAAATTTGTCGGCTCATTAATTTTATCACATAGCAACAAGCATGCGATCGTCTGGCGACCTTGGGCTACCAATCATTGTAGCTGTGAGCTGACCCACCAAGCAGTTATCTACGACTACATAGTATGTAGAATCCATGCGTCACTTATAAACCTTATCAGTGATATAGATAACCGTTATTCGTCATTACAATGGTAGAGAAATATGCAGTTCACCTTGTACTTCCTGGTGTAGTGTACACTGGATTTCATCTTGTTAAAATTGATTCTTTTTTAATTTTTAAAACGTAGGTTTGTATCTAATTAATAACTTAGGTATTTGTAAGTAGGATAAAAAGCTAGGTCAAAAGATTAGAAGCAAGCACGTGTAGATAAAAGTCTATATGAAATTATTAATTATCAATTTTTATTGAATGAAACTCATAAGTTCATAACAGACGTACACTTTGAAAAATTATTTTCATTTCACACATATAACATCACGTCTTTTATCCCCGGAGGGGTTGCACATTAAAGCACTTAATGCCACTGTAGAATGTTACACCTATTTTCACTGTTTAGACTACGAGTCTCTTATAATAGGGGGTGAGCCTATTGCCATATACCAAACACAATTCCAGCTCTCCGTACACGTATCTTATCTTCCTTCCTCGCACCGTCTATTGCAGGCTGATGAATAATTCAAGGGAAAATGAATACCCTAGCGAATAATTTTCCATTCTTCCATTCCATTCCATTTGAGAAAGGTGATTCATATGATTATCACACACGACCATACATGCACACAGGTGAAATCATAAGGAATCGTCCCTATTCTACATTCTATATAAAACTGCCACCAGTCCCCAAGGAAGTAGCATTCTTTTAAACCACAAGCTGCAATCCCCAAACCGCCTATCATTCTTGGGAAATATGGCACATCCTCTCTTAAGAGCCCTTTATTCAGTAATGGACTGTATTCCGACTGACGTAGGTTATAATTAATTCAACATACCAATGCAGATGTAGTAGATGCCAGAGATAATGATGACGACCAGCGCCAGTAACTTGGATGAGGTGAACACATCCTGTATCCTCATCGTCCATCGCACGCTGATGCAGTTCACAGCCGTTAAGATACCTGAGGATAAATAAATGGTGAGTCAGTATCGCAATCAGAACAATTAAAGGTATACAGTAGCACACTTAACCGGCATGGCTTCGACACGACTCAAACCCAGCAATTGACTTGGTCATTTAAATATGAACATTACATCTTATGTCATATGACATATTTCATAAGGTGTACACTGGATTTCATCTTGTTAAAATTAAATCTATTTTAATTCTTAAAGGAAAATAATAATGGTTCCAAAAACCAAATTAATCTCCAGCGATCTGTGGCCGAATATAAAAATGGGTCTTCGAATAACAACACTAAACTTCCGAATAGAATATTAAACCTCCGACAAAATTACCCATTCTTAAAACGTAGGTATCTAACAGCTTTTTTATATTGACGTTATGCTATGACGTTATACTATCTTAAGCTTATCGTTATACTATCTTTAGCTGTATCTTAAAAAAGCTAAGCACAAAGATAAGATGCAGCTTTTTTAGCTTAAACAGGCTGCATCTTAGATACAGCTTTTTGCTTTCGCACCGAACTACAGGGCGCTTACAACCTTTTTGTAGTGTTTCTGAAGCAAATAACGCCGCCCTGGAGCATATGGACCATCTATCTAATGTTAAGTGATGAGCAGCATAGACACCCGCAGCAAGAAAGGATGAGGAGTTACAAAAATAGGTGAGCTTATCAAGACTTTTTGTTCGAAATTTACTTATTGCATACATATTCCACTTATTTTCAGAAGAACAAACAGTCATTTAATATACACATAACAAGCAATCTATAGGCTGTCACTAAATCAAAACCAATTGATTTGTACGGCTTGATCGTAAATTATATTGATTTAAATTAGCTTCTGTCTGCAGCGAGTCTCTCTCCATAAAATAGTACTTTCATATATTCTGTGTCTAGATGTAACTACCGTATAGTCTGTATAAGTTAACATACCTATGTTGTTATCATGATAAGTACCTCTTATTAAATTCAACAGACTTCATGATATTGGTTACCTAAAACGAGTTCCAAAGAACCAAATGATCCTGATCGAACAAAAGGAAAATAGACCAAACATATAGTCATAAACACGGATAGTGATGGCAAAATTACAAATTCTAATATGTCCCCGTTGGTCAAGGACAATTTACAAATAATAATACATGTGTTTAGCGTAAACAAGTACCTAGTCCGATTTCTCTCGGATCGTTTACGACTGCACTAAACATTAATTTAGTATATACCTCTAAATACAGTAGCATTAATAATAGTATTGTGATGTACAATAATAATCTTAATTATACTACTTATTACATGATACATGGCTATGCACGTCAGTTTGTTTTTTTTTTAAGGGATAAGCCGGTAAACGAGCAGGCGAATCACGAAATTGGGCCTCCAGTAACCTCACTCACATGACGAAACTCAATGCAAGCGTTGTCTCACGCCATGGATCATGGAAGCATGGCTCTCCCACACTTGTACGCTTATTCTACCTTTCCTTTAAAATAGAGAGACGATGGAATAACAAGACATGTTATTTGAGGGCTGCGGAGTGACATTAATGGACTTATCGCGAGAAATAAATATCTTACTCCTACTAGTAATAAATTGTCTAAGATTTTGATAGTATTTAATGCGAACAATACAAAATTGAGGTCACGGTCATATCACGTCGAAATTCACAACACATTATTCTATTTCGATCTTTTCTTTCAGGATCGATCTTTAATCTAGAAAACCTAATGGAAATTAGATGTTTAAAGTGTAAAATTGTCAATAATAGCACTTCCAATTACATTCTACTGGGAACCAAGTATGAGGCGATAACGCTCATTCATACCTGATGGAGATAAATTGTGTCAACCAGGAACAGAACAGAAAGCTAATGACAACCTTCCAAAGAGATAACGCATCTCTTCATGAAATTAATTAACCATCCTTATCATTCGTATCATTAAAATATAACACATGAATGATGGAATTGAGAGCTGCATTCACGTCAAATGACTACCTTATTGCAGTAGACACAAAGCCTATTTCACATTGTCGTGGTTCAATGCACGTCTTATAGATAATTTCGTTGCAAAATAAATTGCCCCAAGTGATCCACTTTCAGTGAATCATTAGGTTCGTTTAAACACATCATTTGCTGGCAGACGGACACTGTACAGTTCCGGGTCTTATTTGTCTAGTTAATGGTCTAGTTTTTCTTTGAACATTATTTATTGAGACATTTTTTTATTTTCAAACCCGTCTCCTATGCATAGAAATTCAGGCAAATCTCTCCTATATAGAGGAGGACCGTAGTCCATCGGTGGACAATGACAGGTCGAACACAAACCTGTTGGCCCGAATAGGTACCTTCGTCGAATCCAGTGTCAACACAAACATTAATACAAAATTATAAATAGTCATTGAAGTCAAAAATTCGTGATATCAAATCGTATTGCACTGATTAAGATCGATCTGATTTTGCAACATGAAAGTTGAATTAGAAGTAGGTACACACCTTTTGTTCCAAGGATTTTACCGAATAAGACAAGGATGATTGTATAGTCTACTATAAATATATACAGGGTGGAATTTTGTAATGCCACCTGAAGGGGAAGTAGTCTTAATACTTTAGGTTGACATTTTTACTATTTGAAAAGACAGATAATTGCATCCAAAGATTTTTTTTAAATTCTTAAAATTTTCTGTTGCTTGTTGCACACGGTAAACGAACGGACTAAAATCTGTAAAAGTTGCACCCTGTACTTTTATTGCATCGACCGTCCGGGTCAATAATGTAGTATAATAATGTAATGTATATGGATTATATATAGAGGTAGTATATAATAAAGATGAATTCAGTACAGACAGAGACAGTAACCATTAGTTTGCTACCGAGTCCACCGCTGGTTACGAAAGACAAGACTTCTAAAGCATACAATTTAGTAGTTTAACAATAGCTACTGTCTCTGTACAAAATCAATCTTTATGTATTTTCTTACCTGAATACTAAATAACTAACAGTAGTTATTATATTTCTTTTTTTATTTGTCAATGAAAAGATTTTTTTATGTAAAATTACTTTGTCGCATTAAACTATGTCTTAATGATTAATGTGAAATAATGACATCTAGACTGTTCACTTGTTAATTTATTATCATCATCTTATAAATGCCTATAAATGCCCACTGCTGAGCAAAGCCTCTTCTCACACGGAGAGGGTTTAAGGATTAATCACCACGCTTGCTCTATGTGGGTTGGCCATTTAAAACTTATAATTAGAAATTATAAGCCCAGGTTTCCTCACGGTGTTTTCCTTCACCGTTTGCCAGTGGTGTTTAAATAATCTTAGAAAGTACATATAAATCGGAAAAAGTCACATTGGTAGGTTTCGCAACCTTCACCCTCATGCATGAGAAGCGGGCGTCTTAAACCTCCGGACCACCACTACACTAATTTATAATAGTTACACTTAATAGGGGCCGGCTTTCCAAGACAGTGTATTAGACATTTTTAAATATTTATCTCTAATACAAAAATAACAAAAGACAATCACTATGGTAACAAGGCAATTGTTCTATTTATCAATGTTTTTGCCACAATTAAAGATAAAAATAGAATAAGTACCATATTTTATCACTACATCACTATAAATTCGCGTGAGTGACCTTTCATATTAGAAGATCACACTATGTTCACACGATCATATTGATGTATGTTAACAGTGATTAAGATAAACCATATTAGATTAGATAATAAAAACAAGCAATATAAATATCACAATTGCTGAAATGGTATCTATAATACGGATATCTATTTTATACAGTTTGATTAGTGTATTTGCATTTTTATATTAAGGGAGTCTGGGTCTGGTTCATGAGATTAAATACTATTAGGTACCACAAAATTGTGTGAAATCATTTATCATTATCTGTTTACTGTAAGCTCAAAAACTGCTGCATGAATTTTCATTCGATTTTCATCAATGCATACATAATAGTTGAGAAGTAAGAAAGGTAGGTACAATATTGAATTTGTCAAGGTATTCGTATTCCGTATAGTGTGTAGAAATGTATTTTATAATCCAAATAAGTTTGTACGTAATAGATAGTTAAACATTGCTATTGCAACTTGCCGATGCATTTCAAGTTTCAAGTTACAAGGACGTAACCGCAACTTGAACATATGATTAGCTGGATCTGACAAGTTCCACCATTTAAACGTGTTCTGGAAACTAGGTCGCATAAATATTGCTATCAGTTACAAGGTAGGCCTAGATCGAGACAAGGGTAAACAGTTAGTTGAGGCCTCAGATTAGTATCTTACAACACTAACTGTTCGTCAAAATGTCATAGTTTAATTGAGTTCCTAGACGGCATGCTAACAATTCATAAAACGATGAACGAGAGGATAGTTCATGTTCCTAATGTCAGAGAATGAACAGAACGAAAACACTATTTGTAAAGGCAGGTAAACAGGTATTTTATTTTGTAATTAGGGAATAACATCTTAATGGGGTAGTTGCCTGAATTTTATTTTAACCCTTAGAGCGCCACGTCAGTCACCGGTGCCTGACGCTAGTGGAGGTTTGACTTTCACCATTTTAAACTTGGCAGTTAAAGTATTAATGTCCGTCTGGTAGATTAATATTAAACATAAGACACGTATTTTTTCTTTTCTCATATTGTCTATATAATTAATCTGAAATATCGTGTGACGTCACAATACAGTGTGAGTTTATACAGTTATATCAGAATTTTGTAGCACTTAGTGACGTAACGACTCACTCCTAAACTTAAATCCATTTTATCTGTATATTGTAACTTTATACGAGAAAATAAAAAATACCTGTCTAATATTTTTTCATTATCTAGCTGACGGATTAATCAGATTTTTAATTTTCATTCCCTGGCAACTACCCTACAGTGTCCATGACATTTTAAGTCCTATAACATTTTATTGCCAACCTATAGACTATAACGCGCCAAGACTGAAAGGCTAGGTACTCAATTTTAAGTTGTACTTAAATATCTTGCCATCACCATTATTTGACAACATATGCGCGACTTTAATTTGAGTGACGTTCGAGTATTTCAGCGTTTATATGACATTACAATGGTTAAATGGCAAAAGTACGAGAAATTGAAAGTCTCATCTCGACCAAAGACAGACAAATGGCCCATTTCCAGAGAATCAGCGACAAACATCAAATAACATCTCATTCAATTAATCAAATGTCAAAGTTCAGACAACATCGGCTATGTATACTTAGTTATGGGTAAATTAATTTACGCCAATGTTGATTGACGAAATGGAAGTTCATTTTCAGAGAGCCGATCGTCTATGGGACGCAATTGGTTTAAGTGAAGTTTCCGCCGGCGGATCCGCCTCAAGACGCAATGCAATCAAAGAATTAAAGACTTCCTTGCCTATAGATTTCTATTTATCTTCTACGATCATGGAATCAAAGGAAAATTATTCATTTTTGAAGTAATATGGAGTTAGGTAGGTACCATAGGGAATTGTCAATCATTTTCCTTATTGTTAAACTCTGATTCGTAGTAAAATATCCTGCATTGAACTTTTGTTAAGGAAGAACAATTGGTATGAATTTATTTATTGCTCCCAAGTATTAATTTTAAGAAATTCTACATAACTTTGTGGTTTGTATAATCAATCATTTTAATACGACTAAACGGGAACTCCCTCACCCAGCATACTATTTCACACCGCTGAAGTAAAGTAATAACAAATAAATAAACCACAAACACCACAAGAATTGAGGAAAATAATAGCTACAAGGACATACATAGGTACGTTCCGAACAAATAAGTAGCTTTTCTATGTAAGTATAGTTAAACGCCTCAAAGCAATAACAGAACTGCAAAAATCAATGTTATTGCAAAACTATAACTACGCTAACTGCAGTCAAAACCAACTTGTTAACAAGTACTAGAGTCCAATGAATAATCGCAACTGGATATATCCTTATTCCATTAAATGTGTAATAAATCAACGGACAAGGCCCGTTAGCAATACATGGTAGATAGTACCATGGTTTTCCAATGGGTTGAAAGGCAAACAATTAATTTCGCATTAGTAGATGACTTGTGACATACAACTTGTTGATAAGATAAGATGAATGTAAGCATAAGTCAAGAAGACATGTTACTAAGCAAGTTTCCAACAGACACCCGTACAAATGAACTTGATTCGAGTTTCTGGAAGAGTCCATAAATACATAATACATATGTATATGCTACTGAAGACAAGTTCTGTTTCCCGTTTAAATTACCGGTTATTTTGATCAATGGCCCTAGAGCATTTTGTATTAAAATGCATAAAGCAATGTCTTTCTGATTTAAATTCTAGATTAGCGATGTCATGAAGTGGAATCAATTCTCAGAACAAGAACGAGAGGGATATGGAATAATGAAACTGTTGGTCAAATGATCCCACAGTTGGTAATCTGATCGTGTGAGGGGCCAGTATGACGTCATATGCTAGTAACAATTGTAATTCCATTCATGAATTTTGTAAGTACTTTTGCTTTCTTGGTACCTACTGGTCAATTTGAAAGAAGAACGGTGTCATTGTAGCGTTTTTATCAACGGCCAGTCTGTGAGTCATATACTCATTGACTGATACTTTTTTTTTAATTGACAGCAAAGAGTTTTTTAATTAATCTGTCAAACACCGAGCGGTCACCGGTGACCGCGACCTATTGTTCTTTAATTGTGTCTATAAAACCGGTACTCGACGAGTTAATTATTGTTTATGGTATGTATTACGCAGATCAATGTAATCAGTAAAACATTAGGATTTCCATATTTCGGTAGATCGATAACTATATCTACTTAAATAGCTACTTTCTGCAAGCATTGTAAGAGAAACTAAAATATTTTGGCTTTGTAACTAGCCCAGCACTGGCATCTTCGACTACAAGTTCATTCAATCGTTAATATACAATCTCTACTATAAGTAAGTACGTATGCGATCGTTGCATCGGAAAGTTACGTTGACACACATTCTTCACTCTCGCATCGTAATAAATCAGGACGACCTATTGTAATCAGTGGTATCGAGGTAAGTCAGTTACATACTAGGCAACAATGTTTGTTTATCTTGCTCGGGTCATGTTCGTGTAGTCAAGAACTAGTATCTTAAAATAGATTGTATCTATTTACTTATATAATAATTAATAAATAGGTACTAGTTTCTATGTAGAATAGTGCGGGTGAGTGCAGTTTTGGTTTTATTGTGGTCTGAGAATAGGTCTAGACTCTAGAGTCTAGGTACTAGAGGACTATTAAAGATTATATCTTTCCATGACGAGCATAAAAAACAAGCGAAGTAAAATAACGAAACCAACATATGTATCTCTAGATCTTAAACGATGTTTGTAGCACGCTACTGGCTCTGTTTACTCAAAAATCTCAAGGCAATGGCTTTCACTATGGGAAGTTATGAATTATGATTGTTTATCCAAACAATACTGTAAGACAAGACGAGAATGGACGTTCCCAATGTGCTTTATAAACACGTGACATGCCCATAAAGTTGCTAAGTAACCATCATTACAAAGTGCTGTGTATTGATCAGCGAAATTCCGTTCTTTATTATGCGGAGAAGTCACAAGTCAATGTGATGTCATTGACCTTGAGTAGTGCGAGCAATGCTAGAATGCGTTGCTTTTGAGTAAATACTAGGTAATGAGGAAACATAGACTTTTGTATTTGAAGAGAGAATTAAAAATAAATGTTTTATTTGGGAAAATATCACAGACTAGTTAGTCTGTGATCTTTCACCGACACAACCGCAGCTGTGGTGTACAATAATTGCAATTTAATTTATCCTCCGTATTGGCGAATTTAAAACAAGTGTTGCCAATTTAAATTCTCCTAAAAAACAGCCATCGTTCATCATCAATTCAAGCCAATTCAGTCTGTCGATTTCATTTTGATTTGCCATTATTTAATTTAGTCGCATCACTTATAGAGCATTAGGGGAAATCACTTCTTATTGGGTTTATTAAGAGTGACATTAACATCGTTAAATGTTGAATAAGGAGATCGCTGGACTGTCCAGTAAAGGAAGGTATATTCCATTTTATATTACACATAGGATGAACAAATTCATGGTTAAGGTATCTGTACCTCGTCATCCTTTAAAATCTTCGTTACCTAAGTGTGATTTCAAAGGCATAACGTTGCTGCAAAGATTGCTTTTCATAGGAATTAAGGCATTAATTCTTTATCTCATAAGGGTCAATTTTTGTTCAGCACTCCTCAAAAGGCGAACAATGCACTTTTAAGTTTAACTCTTCTGGTTTTGCGAATGTCCATCGGTGGCACCGATTGCAAATTATCAAGTGATCCGTCTGTTTGTTTGCCGCCCTTTTCTACAAAAAGCAGTGAATGTATTCCAGCTAATGACGTTTAGAACTAACACACATGTTTAAAGATAAAGAAAAACTTTACTTACATAAACAAACAGCAGCAAGAAGCTTCACAGCCAATTCAGGTGGGTTACATTCAGGAAAGAAAGGCTTCACTACATAATTGCCGAAGGTCAGGGCCACTATAGCCTGAGTCGTCGGTCTGATGATGAGCAGAGCTATCCACATACGCAGGAACGCAGGTAGGGGCCCAAAAGCCGTGTAGATATAGGCGTAGTCACCTCCAGACCTCGTGATTGAGGTCCCTAGCTCCGCATAACATAGGGCCCCTAGAGTGGACAGGAGCCCACTCGCCAGCCATATTAATAGTGATGCGCCAACAGATCTGTGAAAGAAAGTATTGTCAGTCCATTAAAAAAAAGTCAAATTTCAAGCTGGTTAATTAAGGCGATAAAAATACATAAAGTGAAGTCAGTAGGTAGGTACCTATAGTGTGTTCAACGTTTGTTACATTTCTATTAACACTAACTCCTTTAACATTATTTCTCATATGATTAATTAACTGTAGGTTTCGACCAAAGAAAATCTTTTTGATCGAAATCGTCCTTTCCCTCAATCCATATTATAATTTCACTCACTCGCTTTGTATTAAGTACGTGATTTTTATCGCTTCTCATTGTAAACGTTGATTTATGTATACTAAATACTGTTTTACTAGTATGGCCCTAGACCCTTCCAAGATCCGAAACATCTACTATGACAGTAAATTGTATAACTTTATGTATGTTTATCGCCTCCACAAAGGTTTCATTGCCACGGTAAACTTGGTAGTTACATAGTTATGAATGAAACTAGGCAATCACGTCAATTTGTGAAAAACGAGCGTGGGAAAATCCTGAACGTCACTATCTCAAGATTCTGCACTGCAAGTAGACTAGACTGCACGATTGGTGCGCTGACTGGGCAATTGGCTAACATGTCGCGGCATCGATTCCCGCACGGAACAACTTTTTGTGTGATCCACAGATTGTTATTCCGGGTCTGGGTGTGATGTGTATGTGAACTTGTATGTATGTAAACGAACCCACAATGTAAAAAAATTATAGGAAGTATCAACATTAACTTCATACTTTTTGCCCAGAAGGGTATGATGGGTACAGATGAATATTCTGTTAATTTACAACATACTTGTGTTACTACTCACACTTTACAGTAGTCACTTGTAGGTACTTAATAAGATAAAGCAAGGGAGAAACTTTTCTCTGACGATAATCGAATACCAAATTAATCAGAGATTAATCGTTGAGTAATCGTATCGTAGGTAAATCGTTAACATCTTGTCATTACATTTCCAATTTTAGTCAAGTTTCCTTTGGACATCTCTTTCCTAAATATTCCGTAATCTCAGATAACCTTTAAACTTTCGCAAATGTTTTTCATTACAAAAATAAACTCTATAAATAACATTATAACATAAAAATGAACATTGGCAATTAGTTTATCTAATTACGTATAAAATAATACCGTATACCGTAGGTAAACTACATTTACTAATTACCAAATATTCCTTAAATATTTGTTTGGTTATGGCAATAAACAAATTAGAAATAAGCGCCATTAACGTAGGTACAGCACCTTTATAAATATACTTAAGTACTTATTTATTAAACACATCCATAGGTAGAGAAAAGCAACGAAATAAAATGTACTGAGGTCATAGTACCGAGTTTGTTAGTAAAGTAACCGAAACGAGACCGCGAGCAGCGCTCTGATTGGCCGGCGCTAATGAACCAACAAATGAGAGCGCTGCTCGCGGTCTCGTTTCAATTACCTACTGTAAACGAAAAATAATCACGACCTAAGGCATCTGCTACCTATATGTTACTTTACTATATTAAGTTTTACACCATACCCAATTAAATAGGTATCTAACTACCACTTACCAAAACCATCCGTTACATAATTCATAGTTACATACAGCCAAGGAAGTGTTACAAATTCTAAGCTGCCATTATGAATTCTAAAGAACTAATGTTTAAAACAAAAACGTCGGAACAAAAGCGTTAATTACCATTAGAATACAATAGGTACGAGGAATCTGATACCCACAGCTCCTAAATCGATAAACTATCGCATTTCCGATAATCCCTTTTTAAAAGGATGATTACAGTTATACCTAGGGGTCGTTAACCTCGATCCTAAGTTTGTTTACAAGTCAATTAAGAAATTATGTTTGATTTAACACATTAACAAATTGGGTTAAAGATGATCAATGTTAACTATTTAAAACCTAATAAGTTTGTTGTTTTATTGACTGTCTTTAGTATTAAGTAATGAGGGCAAATAATCAAAAAGTAAAAATAGAAAGATATTTTGTACGTAATTTTAGCAAAGTTTTGAGTAACATCACAGTCCATTAATGTTTCCGAATCAGCTGTTTACTTTAATAGCTTTACCTATTCCATGGGAAACTAGAAAACGTACCTAGATAATAATGTTTTGATTCTGTTTGTAAACAGAAGGTACCTAGATGTCTAGACTACACTATTATAACCCATAATATGACGAGACTCAGAATAATAGCTAGCTTTAGCTATTATGTGGAAGAATTTCGTTTTCAACCTATCTACATCAAAGAAAATAGTTAAGTGAGAAAATTCCATACTACAAAAGGTTTCAACTAATTATGATAACAACACATAGCAGCTGCTAGTTGTTTCGAAATGCCTGCCTACACGTAGGCCCTAGATTCCGCTTGACAACAGCATTACATTTAAAAAAACTTACATAAGAGATCTGGTCGAATTACTTAACTGTAGAACTTGTTAATTTTGTACACAAACTGCCGTTACTTGTGGAATTATAACATTATATTGAGGCTTTTGTTATAAAGAGATTCTACTCATTTCTTCGGGGAATATGAATACAAGATCTATACGCCCAAATGTTTTTTTTTTATTTGTTTGAAGGTGCTAAAGTAACCTTCTTTTTATTATCATTGTCATTGGTTCTATTGTCAAAGACAAAGTTACTTCGTTACTTAGCTACTTTGCTACTTAGTCAATGCTAAGACGTGATACATGGGTTACATTGGGTCTTAAACACAATATGCAGATTCTAGTTTCATTTACAGATTCAAAATGCCATATGGCTATTTGAATTTCACTAACTAAATCTGTATATTATCGTCTAACTCAATATGTTTATCAATTGTTTTTATGGGCTAAAATGGATAATAATTAACATTTACTGTACCGACATTAAACTCCTTCGGGGAATTGAAGGCGTGATGTAAGCCTTCGATAAGAATATAACCTAGATTAAGCGACGGTTAAGGCTGAGTGGAGCCATGACCTTGTTAGCACAGCCATAAGGGATTCACCATTCTACAAAGTTGAATGGTGGCCATTTTTTACAATACACAAAGACTCTACCATTATAGGTACAGGTAACATAATAGACTGCTGATATTGGATAAATGTTTACAGGAAATATTCGAAGGTGTCTTACATTATATCAAGACCAACCAATACAAACTTGAAAGAAAATTAATACCAAATCTAGACTAGTGAAAAAATTTGATCAGGTGAAAGATTAGCGAGATCGTCATAATCATCAATCGGAAGATACATCTACTTAATTCCTCCCTATACTGGATAGACGCATCTGTTTTATAAAGGGTTTAATAATTTACACACGTCAAGTGTGCAAGACTGCAGAAGCCTTAGTTTGTATTACGTTTAAATTAATTGAAACGAGACCGTATTCGGCGCTTTGATTGGCCGGCTCTAATGAAACAACCAATCAGAGCATCGAACGCGGTCTCATTTCGATTCTTTGGTCTCTGTTCGATCACCAAAAACTTAAAGTAAGTACCTAAGTTCGTACTTAGGTACTTACTTTAAGTTAACGTACTCGTGTACGTTGCCGTGCTACCCGACCTCGACACTTTGTAGCTGTTCGTAGTTTTAGGACAAACCAGGGTCCATAGAAAATTAAAATCCCTAAAATAGAGTATTGTTGCAAACTAAGCATTTTAAGCCCTTGCTTCATTCATTATTACTTGCGTTTTATAAAACAAAATGCAGTAATTATGTGCATTTTAAGCCCCACAAATCTGTTGTAAACGTTTGACAGTGAATTGGACGCGGATTTATTTATCTCTAAAGGTACGGTCGTAAAACTAACGGAGATCAATAGTTTAGCATTGGACATAATACAACGGACAGCTGCACCTTTGGCCACGGCTAAAAAAAATTACAAAAAATTATCGTTGATACAAATAAAAGTAAGTAGGTGACGTAGATATAAGACTTAGTTCAATTTTTACTTACTCAAGTATTATTAATAAATTACTTCTACAACCTTATGTTTATGATTTTTTACGCTGACTGTGATTACCTACCCAATTTGTTTGTAATTATGCTTACATACGTTACATAGCTTAGCTAAAATTCATTACCCGCCTATTATTAGGTACCTATTTACTTATTAATGTACTTGTTTGCCTATAAATAATTGATTAATTAGAACTAAGAAAATCTCTACCCTACCTATAGGACCTCTTGCTACATATTATAAATGCAATAAAATGGTAAATGAAAGTGACCAACTGGTGTCACCTACTGACCATACATTCAAGTAAGTGGACACTACACTAGGGACAGTATCACAATAATCAAACAGACAACGAACTTTTGCAATTACATTTTACACAATTATTGCAAACATTATTTATGCAACCAACGCAAGAAATTGCAATCGTTTTCATTTATTTTTAAACTTCTCATATTTCAAACTTTGAATTACCTTGAAAACACTGATTAATATAGCATGTGTCTACAGTATCTTTTAACTGTGTGGTAGCAGATTACCTATGAGTACCTAAGTAATAATAACATCTAAGTAACCGAGTGATAATGCGTTTGTTAATAAAACCAAACATGTAGTTGATAAGATACCTAACAATACACCGAAATCAAGGAAGTGGTCACAAATTATAGCGGCGTGTCATATTACATTACGGATAAAGATATACAAAACTAAATTTAATTCAAAGATAACGACACAAAACAAGTACTCTCCAACATAGTGGTACGAAAAGCGGAAAATAATCTTCCTACTTCCACATTTTAATTTAACAACTCCCAAATGTTTATTTAACAAACAAATGTTGCGTTTCAAATTCAGCGATAAGTGCGAACCGATAAAACTGAAGAAATTAATTTGTGCACGCGAACTAGCTGCTAGCTGCTAGTCTGAAAGGCGGGAATTTTGAACACTCTGCTTACCTAGTGTATAAGAAAACTCCAGTCGGAGATATAAATATTCCGGAACCAATAATAGTCCCGATAATAATTCCAACTCCATTAAACAATGTTATTTTACGTTTTAAAACCACTTTGCCATCGCTGGCCTGAGATTCTTCACCCATTCCGCAAAAAAATCAATCGCTAACACCGGTAAACGCGACGCACGTGGGTAAAATACACGCGCCAACCACGCTCAAAACGCGGTATCAGACGAGAGCGCCGGGTGACTCGCCGCCACGGAATATCTCACACGACTGAATCACTTTCTGTTACCATTTTTATGATCTGCGAAACTGGAATAGACGATGCCGTGCTGACGTCAGCCGAAGTTTACTAAGGACGCGATCAGCCGACCACTCGGAGCAGTCGCCGCAGCGCATGTGTGGAGCACTACTTGCGGAACACCATGCGCGCTACTGGAACTGCGCTGTGCACGACAGGGACGCCACCATTGTATTGTGCGCACATTGAACAAAGACAGAGCATCGTAGTGTCCGAGTAGAACTTGTTGCAGGCCGTAAAATCAGGACTGTTGTAAACTTTGACAGCTATTTTGATTGCTGAATGTGCACGAATAAACCGCGGTGATAAAATAATTGCATTTATTTTTCTATTTGAACCACACAAGTCTTTATTACGAGTATTTACCTTGAGCGACACTACATTAACATGATGTTATTTCGTAGAGAAGTTGCATCATGTTCCTGGCTGCCTATTGTTAACCATAACGACACTACCTGAGCGCTGACAGTTTTTGTTAATGCCAAGGATTTTCACAAGTAATGTTAATTGAAGTCATTCCCTGATAAAAGGAGTATGCAGAAGTGCGTAAGCTTATGCAACAAAATTGATATAAAAAATAGATAAAACAAATAATTTCTAACTAACGTAACTAGTAGGTCCCGACATTATTCTAGTCTGAAGTACTAAATAGGTATCTACCTATCTAATACTTCATTGAGTGCCTAGTCAAGCACCCGCTACTTACGTATTTCTGAAAAATGTACAAAAATATCCCCTCCCCTATGTATGATTCATAATTATTTATTTCCTACCTACGATGTGATAAACCTACACAGGTAAGGTATTCAATATTCATACTATTTTTAACTAAACACCCTTACTAGAAGACACAATTTTTAAATTACCCTTTTAAAATATTCTAGTAACGAGTACCTACTTATAAGTAGATGGATTAGAAAGTATTACCTAAATAGTAGGTAAAGCTATTGTGTACAATTAATTACAAATTACAAAGTCGATATCTAACTACCTACCCATAATTTTGCATGCAAGCAAAGTTCTAGTCTTTACACTTCCGTGGTTAGCTGTTTTTTTTTTTAATTAGCAATAGGTACAAAATATTTCAGTAACAATTTACATTCTAGGAATAGAACAAATGAATTTTTATTCGTTATTTCTTTAGAGAATTTTTATTCTTTATTTCTCTAATTATGTACATAGCTGTACCTAAGTGCATAAATACATAGGTGGGGGACGTAAATCTACTTCACAAGCATTTCATTACTTCAAAGCCACAGCTTCAAAAGTTAAAAGTAAAAGAAATCGATTCTGCCAAGTACTAAACGAAAAAAAAACTCAGCGCTACTAAATCTGAAGTGTCAGTCTCCTAATCACATACAACGATACGATACTAGTCGTCACTCTCCTAATGTATTGCTATAATAAACAGATGTGCACGATAACGGGCGGCTTTACCTATCTCTAGAGACTAGGATCAAATTTAGTGTTCCCGACACGCTCCCGCTGCCTGTATTTTATGTGTCTTTCATAGGTTATGACCATAATAGATTTATTGACGAATAAATTGATTTTACTCTACAATCACTGAGTACAACACAATAAGGAGAGACAACTACTCTCTGACCCCAAAAACTAAATACTATTCACCAAAAACACAATAATGTACTTACCTCGAATACCCCTAAACATATAGGTATTGTTCTTTGTAATCATGTTTTTGAAGACATCGCGGGAGACATCCTGAAATAACACGTATTTGCAGCGACGATGCGCCCGCGCCGCGGCGCTACCGTCGCGCGCTTATCCGACGCCATTTTCACACAATCCCCGAGCTTTCCCGCACACAGGTACGTACCACAATTTTCACATTAGAACAATAAGTCGCGAGTAAAATTAAATAAAATTATATACAAATCACTTCAACAAATCAGTGTGTCTATTCTGACTCAAGAAACTCTCTAATTAACACTAAATTTTATTCGGCCGTTCAAAAACAAGAACATTGACCCTCGAGCACACGTAATAGTTAACATGTTTTTTGTTCATTGTGGTAATTACTGAATACGAAAACATTAAAACAATACGTCCAATAAAAATAGAGTTTATGTATTGAAATAAATCGATGTGAACTACTGAATGTGCACTTCAGGAGGGTATCGCTGGTAAATAACATCTAAATGTGAACTGAGGAATGTGACCGTCATGTTTCGGTTACATCAATGCAGCCACTACAACATACGGCTACCTAGCTAACTGCTTCACGTAATTAAACAGTATACTCTTTGAAAGACAATCTATTTATGTCATCATGTCCTTATTTTTTTAATAGATCAGTAAGCATCCCCCGCAGCGGCAGTGTTGCGAGACACGAGTCGTGTCGCAAGCGGTGGTGCCCTTGCACGTGCTGTCCTCACATTACGTGTCGGTCTCCTACTCTACACTCATTTGGACAAACATTTAAGTGTAAATCAAGTTATACAAGATCCGATGACACTCATTCAAAAAGTTCAAGAAGGCAAGGAAGACATCATGACTGACATCACGATGAAAGAAGACCTGGTGAAACCTTCGCGACCTGTCAGAAACAGGCGATACACTCGGTTAGTAGTAACAAACATTGACATGCATGAGTCATTACTTTCAGTATTCAGTATAAATTTCTTTGTGCGTCACCTATGCATCACATACGGTACCTATAAAGCTCCTTTATTAAAATTGTATTTACTTTCATCGACATTACAGACAATGGGTTTTATTAATTGGCATTTATCAAAAATATTTTTACAATTACAGAAGGAGCTTAGTAGCGGGCCAGCGTCCGCAAAAGAGGCTATTCACACCAGAAATTAAGCGATATCTCAAAGACTGGCTAGTGCGACGAAGAGATAACCCGTACCCAAACAGAGAAGAAAAAAAATATTTGTCTCGCGAAACTGGCCTCACATACATACAAGTAAGTTCGACAGTTTATATATTATTTCAAAGTTCATTGTTTTCTCATTTTTACACGTAGGTAGATATTATGTTTGTACCTAACAGCAACCTAATTGGATCGATGCCAGAAATTGCTATTTGTACATAAATAGGCACTATTTTTGTCATCGTTTTGTTGACTACGGTTCAGCATTTAACGTTAAGTGAAAAACTAGATTGACTATTGTATTCAGAGTTACTACTAATTAATTTATTAATAACTTGCACTACCATGACGACAGATAAACTATTAGTCTGCCTAGGTATATATATATACCTACCTACGACAACTATACGATGCCATCTGTGACAATAAGATGTGTTGTAAAATACCCACGTTTTGCTCGATTATGTCACATTAAATTAACACTAAATTATGATTTCAGATTTGTAACTGGTTTGCAAATTGGCGAAGAAAGTTGAAAAATGTGAATGTAGATAGAAACCAGCAAACGTGGGGCCATTTGATCCGCACATACAATGATCGTGCACAGGGCAATGTGGAACAGTTCAGCATTTGTTCCGACGACAGCATATGGAGCGAATCCGATCCCAACAATCCTGATGAGAACTTAGACCATGATGGGGACCTAACAGGCAGTCCAGAAACAATAACAGAATACCACCACGACGATTCCGACACATCTTTGAATATGAAAGACAAGTGTGTCAACTTCAACAATAACTCTTACAAATCGGATGCAAATGAAAATAGGAACGAGGAAACAAAAGCAATTACAAGCCCAATGTTACTCAGCAAGTGGCTAGAGAGCGCTGCACGGTTTCAACCAAGTGAGTGTAACTACTCGTGGTGGGCTGACGGAAAACGAAGAAAGCCAGATGCGAAGATCCAGCGGATTACAGTAAATACGATGTCTCGACATGACCGGGACGAGGTGGAAGCTGCAGTGGCCCTCACTGCTCTAGCGTCTGCTACCAGCCGTATTTCTGCGCCATGACACCATAGACGCAATGTGTTATTTGTTTATGATTTTTAAATGGAGAATAATGTTAGATACTCTTTGTAATAGAGTAACTGCCAGTATGATTATTGTTTGTATTTTTAGTTAAGTTTACCAACTACGTAAATAAAATTTACTATTACGTAATAATGCCAATGAAACCAGTGTTGCTCAAGTATTATTTAAAGTGTAAGTTGATCGTGGAAGCAATCCTGCTCGTATAGTCATTAACTTTTGATCTCTATTGGACTAAGTAGTTATAAGTCGCAACTCCAACCAAAGATTGTTTCAAGATTGAAGTAAAATACATTATGCTATAAACAAGAAAAAACTTGTTTTATTTTTATCTAGCACTGTTGACCAGGCTTTTTGTTTCCCAGGCAATGGCACAGTTGAGAATCTGAACGCATTGTTAACATCAGCTACCCACTATTAACCAGCTTGTCTTTTTAAGGGGGAAAATCATCCAATGACTTGTCTCGCCCAGGCGAGAGGGAGTGTCAAACTCTTACTGACTAAGAATCACCCCGTTCCTACTCCTGCACGAACCGGAGCCCCGGAAACGCTTCTGCGGCTCCGTATCCGCAAACCAGCCTATGTCTACACAGTATATATGCCTAAGATGAATAAAAGCGGAAAGGCGATAGTAATTTTCTTGGAATTCATTCAAGTACCTACTCATTTGATACGTATCAACTAACAGTCAATGCCGTTTAGCAAGTGCACACGAAATAGGTAATGGTAATTTTTGCAGGACTACAAATATTATATTTTTTTTGAAACAAGTGAATTTATTTCTGCAAATAGGCTACAAGGCAGCACTTTTACACGTCAATTTTATCAAGCGAACGATGAGGTCGACGTTTTCCGGTATCGATATATTGTCCAATATATCATGGAAAAACGTAACATTCGTTGATGGAAGACGATGTTATTTATTACTGCGCAAGAGTAATAAATTAATAATATTTTGTTCCGAACTGTTAGAATCGCCAGTAGACGCGATTACTCAAATAAGCTGTTATACATTTTCTAGTTAACTCTAGGTAATGTTTAGCGGCTTACTTATGTAACTGTGTGACGAGGTAACTTGACTCATTTCTAGCCTCAAGAGCAGCATTGCACGACACATGATGCGGCGGACGTTACACAGATAACATTTTTAGTTGTTTATAAAAAAATATATCTCTATAGTACAAAGTATGACAGCTCCAACTATAGACAAGTAAATAAAGTATTTGATTCACTAGAAATCTAGCTACCAAACAAGTAATGCTTCTCAACTTCAAATGTAATTTTTCACGACCCAGATGGCGCCTCTTGCGACTAAGATCCTAACAACCTAATGTTACTGTCAAATGTTTGCTTTTTTACCAGTGGAATGACATTGGGTTGGAAAAACCTTGTTCCAGGGTCTAGACTTAGTTTGATGGTCATTACAGAGAAATAATAAACTTCATTATCACACAAAAGTAACAATAAAAGACTAAGAAAATAATAAACTAAAATCTCTTAAATTATCATTAATAATAGTATTATAAACAAAGAAAACAACACGAAAACTCTTCTATATCTTATACTAATAAATAACTTTACATTATTGATAACAATTATGATGTACTTTCGGGTTCTGCCTTAGTACTCTCCGATTCTATTTTAGTACTTTCTTGAGGTTCCTTGCTTGAGGTACTCTGGAGCTCTACATGCTTCTCTAGATGGCCTACCAGGGCCTGCTGGCCTTGAGTCAGCTGTCTCACAAGGCAAGAACCAGCACTATCAAGTACAGCACACAGCTGACTCCTCGCCACATCAATGTTCTGCATCTGACTGTATTCTAACAACTCATTCTTTGACATCAATCTGTCTTGAATGATTCCGGCTGAAATTTAAAGCATTTTTTAATTAGTAAAGTTGAATATTAAAATTTATCATTCTGCTAGTTTTGTGTTGTATTTAATGTTTAAAGTAATATAAATGAATTAAAACCTACCCATAATGACTAATTGAGGTGCTTTCTTCATAATCTTGAACATCTTGGCTACATTCTCAGGTTGTCCAAAAATAATATTTTGGTGTGAAGTAAACAAGTGATTGACTGCCTCATACCGTGTCCCTGTGGTGGCCATGCTAACAATCTTCTTACCATAAGTTCTTAAATGCATATTGTTCTTGCTTAGCGCAGCAAACACTGGCATTTTATCTTCCATACTTATTGCATTTACATGCAAAAAGATAACCATCTTGGATGTGTTAAACCAGTTGAGACACTCATTTGCTAATATTCTTTCAAAAGGGTTGTCTATCTCTCTTGCGTACCTTTTTTCTCCTCTGTCACAAAGCACTGCATCCGGAAGCAGGTATTTCGGAGTGCCGTATTTAGGTTTTGCTAAGTCTATCAGAAGCTGTCTTTCAAAGTGAGGTTTCTTTGGCCTTTGTATATTAATCTTCCCGCGGAATCGTTTGGCGATCAAAAACGATGCCTGCGTCGGTAGTAAAACTGTAAGACACGAAAATTAAGTTTGTTATGAAAGTAATAAATAGGTGTACGTATTGATAGAGAATTTTATGGTAAGTACCTTTTTTAAGCGATGCCATTTCTGAGAATCTAAAGTTTACTTTAGCTAAGTGATTGATGAGCGTTTATTAATTCATAAAACGTATTTTTTTATTTCGATTCAAATGATACAATTTTGTAATTATAAGACATAACCTAAAAATCTGGACTGTTACTGTAAGTGTCCGTCTGCTGTCACTTAACTGAAATGTCAATGTCAAACAATAAAAATAAAGAAAACCCATGCACATTGCGTCTTTAAATCGGACCATGCATGCTTGGCAGTGATATCGACTATTTCAATAGTATTTTCTGCGACTCTGTCAGTTTTGTTGTCGATGATTTTTTTGTCATAACAAATGAGCACATCCTTATTATTGACATTTGAAAGAAGGTGAATTATAATTTCCAATCGTCAAAGTAATCTCGTGTGAAAGAAACGTGTAATCGAGTGAAAATAATTGTTAAAAGTGGCTATCGTTCCCGAAATTCTATGAATATATTGTTTTTAGCCAAACTAAGCTTTGTACAAGTTATCAGCGAAATTCTAATTAGACTCTTATTGTTATATTGATTTTTGAAAAAAAGAGGTTAGTTTTATAAAATTTTACATTATTGCACCATTATTTCGTACCTATTCGTGATTTCATTTTTATTTTTACATCCTTAGATAATGCGGAATCATCAGGAGGACTCGCCGTCATCGTCTATAAACGGAGATGAGATCTTGGGTATGGAAGATGATGATGGCATGGTGTTTCTCGAGGAAGTTGGAGAAATCGATTTTAACGATGATTACAATGACGACGAGGAACCAGTGGAAGAGGCTTTAGAAATGCAAGAAGACAATTCTATTTTCATATTTAGAGAGCATAATGGATCTGTGTTTTGCTGCGATATTAGCCCTGATGGTAAGCTGGCGGTCACGGGTGGGGAAGACGACAAGGCTTATGTATGGAGGATTGAAGATGGCCAGTTGGTTATGCAATGTCTTGGACATAAGGATTCTGTCATCTTTGCCGGCTTTAGTTTTGATGGCGCATTCTTAGCAACAGCTGATATGGCTGGACTAATCAAAGTTTGGAAATGTGAAGAAGAGACCCAACAAGAATCATGGCCTGTTGTCTTTGAATATGAAGCACCGGACTTGATATGGGGCCTGTGGCATTTTGGAGCTAGGGTTCTTGTTTTTGGAACAGTACCTGGTGAAATATATGTATTTAAAGTACCTTCAGGAGAAACTAAAGTCTTACAAGGGGAGAATACCAAAGCGGAGTGTGGAATGGTAAGCAAATATTTAATAAGAAAATAAAAAATAATTCAAAGGTACCTCCTTTTTTAAATGAATTTACGAAAAATCTCATAAGACTTGTCTTGATTTGATGATTGAGCAATTTCCTAGATGCAAGTCATTTAAGATTTCATAACCATGATATGAGATATGACCACAAATACTACAAATAATAATATGATTACAATTAATCTAATATAATGATTATTCTTCATTTACACATTTGTTATCATGTAGGTAGAAAGACTGATATTTATTTATTTGTTTAAAAACACTTTTTTAAATGATTACAGTTGTTCCACGATGGAGTTCGTTTAGCTGCTGGTTATGAAGATGGTATCGTAAAGATTTGGGATTTGAGGAAAGGAACAGTTTTACACCAAGTGCCTGCGCCAGTTCATAATAATAAAGTCACAGCTATAGACACTCCTCCCGATGATAATATTATGGCATCTATTTCACATGATGGTAAGGTTCTTTTATCACTTTCTTCAATAACATAATATCTTGTTTAATAATACATACATATACTTTGGAAGTGCTTTAACACCCAGTTCTGACTGACTGAAAATATTTCAGTCATTCAGTCAGAAGTGGGTGAAAATATTTCAGTCAGTTATTTATTCAATCTGTCACCTGTTCAGAATGTTCAATGAATTCAGGCTCTCTTTGTGTGATGAGATTTATTAAAAACTGCTACCCACATAATTACATTTTTAGGTATTTTTCATTGTCGGAGGTAAATTTTTGTAACTGAGACATATTAGATTATATCAATTATTTTGTTATTATTCCCACTAACTATTAGTGGGAAGAGCCAATATTACATCCACTTTTAATATTTATTGAAAGACTTCAACGAAATTTAGAGACATAAACTTCATTTTCTAATTTTATTTTGTAATGTTTTCCAGGTAAAATTGTGCTAACTACTCCAAATAATGGCAGGGTAGTCAGCCAGATGACAGCAGAAGTAGACTTAGAAATAGTTACGTTTTCAAAAGACCTTCAGTTCCCATATCTTGCCACAGGTAAATATAAGTTTTTATTCATCTGTTTTACATACATACTACATACTACCTATTTCTTGAAGATGTGAAATATAACATCCACTTTTTGCTAGTTATGTTTAAAGATCCAAATCATTATAGGGAGATCCCACTGCTCTACATTTACCGAAATTAAAAGAATAGCAAATATTTCACCAGACGGAAATTAAATCCCAAATTCCTTTTTCCCTATTCACACAAGCACCACTCTATTAACGAGGTAGTTTCTTATAATACTTTGTGAATACTTTTTTAAGAAAAAGTTCTGTAGGATCTGTAGTCCAATCTTTGGCAGTGGTTAATTTACATTTCATTTGCATTTCAGGTACACTAACGGGAGCAGTAGACATATGGGATGTACCTCGGAGAATGAAGCGCCATCAATGTACGAAAGCTGGGTCCAGTCCCGGGATCACCAGAATGACCTGGGTGAACAGGCTTCTTGTCACAGGCTGTCTTGATGGCTCCGTACGGGTGTACGAGGGCCGGACAGGCGAAGAGTGCCAGAAGTTCACAGGCCACCTATCAGAAATCCTAGATCTACGTTATAGCGCGAAAACAAACTTAATATTAACTGCCTCAGACGACGGAACAGCTAGGTTATACAAATTAGATGTAAACAGCGGCAATGACTAAAATCTTTTTTATATCTTTCATTTTCCATTTGACTCTGTGCATTATATTGTTCTCTATTTTGTCATATCACAGTGTATAATTTTAATGTAAGAAATCAGAGTTTTTACATCTGTATGTATTTATTACAGGATAAAAATGATTTTCTTAAACGCCACTGAACTGTCAAATAGTTGTTTCCGTGTCAAACTGATTATTATTTGGACATTTACAATATTGTAGTTAGTAGCCCAGTATGGTTGAGGTCTGATGGTCTACACCTCTACAAGAGTCCGCCTATTTCTAACTGTCATAAAGTTGTACATTTGACTTCATGCAGACATTCATAAAGCTGTGGTTATGAGACTTGATATTGGTATTAACTACATACAATTTCGACCTTAATGTCTAATGTCGTATAATACAGTTTTTAATGTCGATAAAATCTCTCACTAACTTTTACACAAAACTGCGTGCAGTTGAATGTACGGACACGGGTAGACCATCGATCTCTCTAATTATTTCCTACTTAACAAGTACCTACCACTATATATTTATAGTAGATTTTGTATACCTATTGGTACAATATTTAATCTCCCATGTAATAATCAATATTATTAATTAACGTTTGTATTTCTCTCTCATATTCAATATGCAATATGTAATAATAAAGAACAATTCGTATGAAATAATCTTGTTATTCATGAAAACCAGTGTCTTCGCTTCCTCAATACCTGCGTCTGAATATTATAAAATTTGTTTCTACTTAGAACCAACAAACAACTGCGATGATAATGCAGCTTACCAGTTATTATTTTGCATAAGATGTACCAACTACTTGTATGTAGTCAATTACACTCAAAAGAAAAACGTTCAAACTAGCAACACCAAAATAAAGTAGCAACCCTCTTAGAAATTATAAGCACTTGTAATCCGGGTTGCGCTTGAGTGGCGCCAGTGGGTCCTACATATCAAAACGTAAAAACTGGTATCGTCGAAGTAGATAATAATCTACTAGTAATTGATACCATTATCAATAGCAATACATTCGTTGGATTATGAACAAGTGAATGGGAAACAGTAGCTTTCACCAAGCAGATTGATATCTCGTATCACCACACTGTCATTGACCTCTTTGCAACGAACAAGCTATAAATGAATTGCTCATATCCTGCTTACGTGAAGAATTGAAGAACCTAATCCTCTTATAGACCGTCATTGTGCCCACCACAAAACAAGGCGGTACTTTATCAGTGCCTCTCATGAACAAGTTATTGTTAAAACAAAGTGTGCCAAATCTACACGTGGTGATGCACATCGGATGGTGATGGTGAGAACGAGATAGCTAAAAAAACTAGTTGTACGAACTTGGCAGTGAATTCTCGCGGCCGACTCTACGCCGATATTATACTTAATAACTTTACTGTTAAAGTCGCTTTCGACTCGGCACGGTGGTCGACCCATGCCGTTTCGTGTTTGAGTCATCCACGCGGACGCAGACGACTGTGCTCGTGGTTAACTTGCAAAGTAGCATAGTGAATAGTAAGGCAAGCGGACGTAACGGCGGACGTCTACTCCTCGTAGCATATGGATAAGATCGCGACCGGGAAAATATCGAAGTTTGACTTGAACTATTAATTGAATAAAGCCGACAATTTTTTAATAAAAAAGCAAGTCTAAAACTAAAGTAAATTTTAAAGACTAGTGAACACAGTGTGCTGAATATATTAACCTAAATACAACAATGTGAAGTTGTTTTACGCTAATATTTATATTGGCTATTGTCGTGTTATCAGCTACTGTCGGCGTACACCACAGGAGTATATTTTTTATCAGTCCATGGTAGTTCAATGGTGTTCATCGCCGCACGTGGTGTTTCCCGCCGCAGCTCACACCGCAGTGTGATGCAATGTTTGTATGACCGTGCTTCAGAATTTCGGCTGTGCTACTTCTTGCTGTTGACAATGTGTAAAAGTGTTTAAATTTACAAGTGATACGATCCAAGTCGTCTACTTCTACAAATAATTTGTTATTTATAAACGTTGATCATGGCAAAAGTGAGTGATATTGATGCCCCGCCGCCGAAAGCGATGGAAATGGGCCCAGAAACTAATGACACCGGTGATGGAGAATCGGATGAAGGGGTTCGTTTGAAGAAAGAGTTAGGGCTGATGAACGGTGTGGCTATCATAGTCGGTGTGATAGTGGGATCAGGAATATTCGTTTCTCCTAGTCTAGCCCTCAAGCATGCTGGTTCTAAAGGCATGGCACTGATCGTGTGGGTACTCTCCGGTTTCCTTTCGATGATCGGAGCTCTCTGCTATGCAGAGTTAGGTAAGTGGGTTAAAATCATGAAATAATAGGTAATGTTCTGTCGTCACCGCATGTTAATTAATGACGGCGTTTAATTGTGTTATCAAGGTGTAATGAACCTGTTGCTCACTTACACTACTTAGATCCTTCAACAACAAGAAAATTTTTCCATGGCCAAAATTCGCAATTTTAAATGTAAATAAAAAAAAGTATTCGTAAGTGTACCTAAATTATCTAGGACCGAGTTAGTAACAAATTCGCTAATTTCTAATAGACCGTGACGGCTCGAAACTTCTTGAATTCCAATAAGATCCAGCATATAAAAGGTACAGCATATCTGTAGGTTCATTAAGTACTACCTACATAAATAATTAGGCAGGTACTCCACAGATAAATAATATATCAATAGGTACATGGCGTAAAAAAATATAGTCCTTTAGAAATAGGTAGGTAGGTATCTATAAGCATGTTAATAGGAAGGTACACCATGCCATAATTTATGACCCTAGAGTAGGGTGTTTCAGGGTCCCTAGCAGACGGCTAACAAGAACAGTCGTCTTTGTTCGTACGTAGGTACCTATATCTACTTACTTAACTCTTTAAATCTAGTTTCCATTTAGATAGAAAATTCAATTAACGTTAACTGATCACAATTATCGTTTAGGTTGAAATCGAACTGTTCTCAATTAGGTAACTCTTTTAATTGTAGATAGATAGGCAGATAATTTTTCAGTTAATTTTATTGCTAGGCATACAGACAAGTTTATAAATAGATTTTAATAATTGGTTTTATTTATCTAAACCTTTTAAATGGCTGTAGGTACTTAGAAAATAATTGAATTTTAATAAGATACTTCATTAGATAGGATTTATCTGCTCTATAACGATATTTTTTAAAACAATTTTAACCACAAAATCAATCGCTTATTCATTAAAATCACATCAAATCATCGTTCTTACTTATATATCTAGACACATATTTAAGAGACAATTAAAGTAGATATGAAATGAAAGTTGAAGGACATTGTATCGATGTCAAGAACCTACGACAACTTAACAGCATTAAGGAACTGAAGTACTTACTAACGTACCCTACTTGACCTGAGACGCAATGCAGACGTATCAACTTATCGACGAGGTTATGAACTCTCCAGCAGTAAAAGGCTGAATACACCAGCGTGCCACAGCCAATTTTAATATTAAAAAAATGGCGAATATCACTATGGCTCATAAAATTGATTTTAAAATTAGATAAATTCTAATATGACATTTAAAGGTCTACATTTATAATATTGGTGTCACGGTTTTCCTATTACAATCAATCCAATTTAAACTCATGTATAATATTTGGTACGAATATTCCTCCTATCGGTGATAATAATATGGTTGAAAAAGTAGACACCTTTTATGTTGTGGATACAACATTAAATATGTACGGGAACCATTGCCATAAATTTCTGATATGATAGGTACTAGTACGAGTATACGAGGATAATTTTATTGCTGTCAAGATAACGAACAAACTATATTATTTTAATACTGTCCTTTCATCATATTCACACGTTGATTGATAAGCAGGACATTATTAGATACATAGGCACTTATATGCTTAGATATCTATTTGAGAATATCGGAAAGCCTTTGATCTGGTGGATAAAAAAATAATAAGAACCTAAGGATGCAATGAAAAGAGTTTTATTTTTCCATTTTCGCAAATTGTGTTCCATAATATAATTTTAAAGAAAAATCTAGGTGCTATTATTATAAGAATACTTAGGTAATTAACTAAACAAGTCCAATTTTGAAGTATAACTTTTATTTTAAACGCCCGCAATGAAATCGCAAATTCAGCTTCTCGTCATTGCCACTTGCACCAGACAGCTGCTTTCTGAAGTTAGTAGGTACCTACACACGTTTCGACTGACCCAAATTTTAAAATCAATAGACCGTATTATTTTACAATGAATGGGGCGAACAGCATGGAGGGCGAAATGAATGCACCACTGCTTTCACGCGTGTTAATGTTAGGTATTGAAATAAAAATAAACTAGAAATAAACATTAAGTAGATATCTACATAAAATAATAATAGAAATACACGTTAGAATACTTATTGTATAATTTTGCAAATAAATCGAGGTTACGCAACAAAAATGCCATTCAGAATATTTATTTAAAAAAATCTTAAAATTAACACACTGAACCAGTTACAACTAGAATGGACCGGTTTTAAAGAAAACGAAAACTAAGTAGACATAATTGAGTTTATTTTAGAATACATTAGACTGGCACCCGGAACAAAAAATGTCTACTGTTCACAGTTCATTGACAAAAGGAACTTAGGTGCTTTATGGTCAACGGTAATCGGTAAATGCAAAAAAAAGTTCAAATTCCGAATGGTATCCAATTTCCCGTCCTTTTATCATAGTTACAGAAAAATATAACAAAAGTAAACACGAATCATTTGTTTAGCCAATATCGGAAATTAACTTAACACTCAATTAAAAATTAATTTGAAATTGTTAAACATTGTTACATCACCACAGTTATGGGACGAAATACCGTTACGGTAAATGCGAAAGCATTCAAATCATCATTCGAACACGTGGTTCCTTTTTTGTTTCTTTTTTTTAAGTCGTTCAGTAACCCATAACATAGACAATTATGTAAATAGCTAGAGGCATTGTGCTTTTAAACTTGAAACTGTCCGATGTTCTTACATCAGCCAGGTACGAAAATACGTTTCTCAAAATGGCAAGAGGTTACCGGTTAGCGACTGTCTCGGTCTACCTACGTTTATTTGAAGTATGCCGGTAGCGAGCGATGTTTCAATGTCTTCGAAAAGATGATTTAGGCAATAATTAGCAGATACTTTTGATAAAATAAGGACATACATAGGTAGGACCGAAATTACTTTGTTAAATATCCCAATTTGACAGCAGGGACTTCTATAGCATAGCCTACCTATTTACTTGGCTTTTTTTTATTTGCCTTTTGTGTACTAAATAAGCTAGGTACCTAACTATTTAGGTAGACGTAGCTAACTAATGAACTAAAATAATTATCAAGCTGTTTTATGTGGCACAAAACGATGCTTTGAATGCACTCACATTCTTCGTAAGTAACTGGTTTTATCTGTTACAAATTGAAAGAGATCAAAATGATGCAACATTGCAGAAGGATTTCAAGTTAATAGAAAGGTAATTAATTAAATCTTAAGTCAGTCTCCATTAAACCGAACAAGGGATCTCAGGTTCGACTCCCTTGTCAGGTTTAATTTTGGCATGGCAACATGCTCGAGCTCTCTACATAGGTACTCATGAGAGTGCGAAACGCGTGTTCTCTGCAGGGATTAAAAGGATGTTTTTCTGTTGTGCACGACCCAATATCGGTTAAGCTGAATATCAGAAAACATTTTCCCCATATTATTTTAACTAGGAATATCGCATTTAAATCTATATGAATAAAAATGAATTTCCATTCGTCAGTCTCACTAAAACTCGGGAACTGCTGAACCGATTTGACTATTTTGGTCTTGAAATGGCCGACCTGGAAGGTTTAAAAGGTGAGAAAAAACTTTTAGGTGGTACGAAGTTAGCCGGATCTGCTAATATACCTATATATAGGATTAATAGGTAGATAGTTTTCGAAGCCGTTCTAGTAAGAAAACAAATAGCTATAAAGCACTTTCTTACGGTCTAAATTTAAATAATAACCGGTCTTATTTCTTTCTGATTGACTGATATAAACGTATCGTAATTAAACGTATCGAAATTCTTTTGTTTTTATTTACTTGCTTTAGATTTGAAGTAATGAGCCATGATAATGAGAAACTGGACGGTTAGGTTAGGTTAGTATTACAGTTGCAATCTGAAGTAAAGCTGGCCAAACAGGCTGATTAAAGACCAGAGATTTGATCTGATTCCGTATGTCTGCATTTTAATGGAACATAGAGGTACCGACCTCTATCTTCCACAATCAGTTAAGCAAACGTAATTATATATAAAAAATAAAATAAAAAATACATATAAAAAACCATCATTAATTTCTTGGCCTTCCAATGTACGCTATATTATTATGTTAAGGCATTTGTAGAAGTTCATAATATTATTATATTAACAAAGGAGCGATAGCATAGATATTGGAGGCACAAGGTAGTGTTCGTGTCATGAAAACGAAGGGTCCTTATTCCTTGAGAGCTGCCTGTGACATTAGGACCCAAGTTAAAGTACATTTTAGAATGTTCTTTTATAATGAAATGTATATCAGTGTTTCGTTTCCAGGTACAATGATTCCAAAGTCAGGAGGCGACTACGCTTACATAGGAGAAGCCTTCGGATCTCTCCCTTCATTCCTGTACTTGTGGGTGGCGCTGTTCATCCTGGTACCAACTGGGAACGCCATCACGGCGCTGACCTTCGCACAGAATATCCTTAAACCTTTGTGGCCAGCCTGCACACCTCCAGATGCAGCTGTCAGCCTCATAGCAGCTTCAGTTACATGTGAGTATTTGAGGACAGGAGAGGTCTTCCAATAGAACCACTATTTATTTCGTAGTACTGACGTAACAAACAAACTCAGGATTAGCCAGATCAAAAGCAGAAACGAATCTAGTAAACCTTTTACCAGATGTATTACTAATTCCATTACACCGGGTCAATGCAATTACGGATAATATTGAAAATGAAAAACCCGGTAATACTGTCTGACCCTGGTCAATATGTACCCTATCTGGGATATCCGATTATTCTACTTAGTTCAATCTAAGTTGTCTATCTAAATACCTACTTGAAATGCCAACCTACATGCCATCGCGTCTTTCAGTCATCACAGTTTTATAGGCGTCATGTACGGCCCATTCTCATTTATGTTTAGAGTGGAATTCTTAATCTTCAATTTTAGTATTCTCCTTACAACGAGTCACCCGTTGAATGTGTATCGAATACATAGTAACGAGATAATAGATCTAACATAGTATTTATAGCAGCCACGTGTGGGTCGTAGTACAAAATATGAATAAAAATGTGTTCGGTCTGCCGATGACAGATGCTAATAGTCTACAGTCCCAAATGTCTGGGACGTGCTTCTTTGTTTGCATTCGCGTCATTCAAAAACGCTTAATTATTTTAATTTGGGTAGTGTTTAAGACACATTTTTGAATTTTATCTTCTTTTGAAGATTATCGATAAAGATTCACGTAAATAGAACATGCTCGTGTTCGGTTATTGACCTCGAAACGTACAGCACATGTTTAAGTAAACATTTTTTGCCCCTTATTGCTCGACAAGTGTAACCATGAGTGAACCGATTATAATTATGGCGGCGTCAACGAGTAGGTGCCTATCCTCATTCGTTACTAGGTCGACATTATGCCCGATTTTTCTGTTTACACAGATTTTGCAAATATTTGTTTAGTACAGCCCTCATTAAAAATGATTGTAGTTTATTTGTTTGCATCCAAACAACCTTGCTTGTTTCTGTGAATAGAGTATAATTTATTTTCGAAATGAATTGTTTGTTCATAATGGTATACTTACATATAACTACAGATCGCTGCTTAGTAAAATAGAATTTTTTTTATAAAAGGTGAACTTAAACAACAAGCGTACAAAATGGCAGATTCTACAAATCAAGCAAAAAGTATTATACACCGAGGCCCCAGTATCTTTTTCTAAAGGCTTGCGATAAAACATGCCTATCATGCAATCCTAATGTTTACGAATTCCAAAATGAAAAAGGAGTTGACTGATTACGGCGCGTCTAACCTTATTTGAATCTCATCTCAATCATACGCAGAAATCTTAACACGAAACCAGTATCGTTGCATGTGCAGCTTCCAAGAAACTCGTTCCGTGATTAAAGAATTCTCTCACGGAATTCGCATAAGTATGCCTCGTGTTTTGTCCTGACAAGAAATGATTTTTCGCTGTCAGAATCATTATCATCACCCCATACTGTGAACCGGTTTGATTTATGTCCTAACGATGTATGCCCTTCAAGTACAAGTTTCAAGAATTAGGGGAGCAAGAGCAACCCATTGTTAATTCTGGTTATCGATACAACTGCGAGTCTTAAATCTTATTCAAAGATTTTATTGCTGAACCCATTATATATCACATTTAAGTGACTCGTCTAGATCATTGACTTGTTTGAGTGCTGTATTTAGAATCTTGGAATGTTCGTTCCTCCTTAGCTTTCTAGTCAATTGAACTTTCCGGATAATTCACTTGCTATCAGCACTAAGAAAACTATGATCTAAAATGTCTTTTATGAACAGAAATCAGAAATCTGTAAAATCCAATAACACCAAAAATTAATTCCAACTAGAAATACAAGTCACGATTGATCATAATACGTCACAGAATTAGATCATAATACGTATGACCTACGCAGGCCCTTATTTGTCGGAAGATTCCAAGAGCATACAATAAGAGGCACAGTGTCGCGATCCATCATTGTGAAGCGATGTATTGTACTTGAGGCCTCAGGCTGTCACTTCAATAGGGCGACTGTGTCCGTATCTTTATGTCCCGGTAGGTATGTATAGGTGTACTGTGGAGCGGTCGGTGAGCTGATTGCGCCTGACAGGATAATGTGAGCTTCCTCCCGCATGGTACTGACACACGCTCTTGTGCGGAATTATCACGCTCGACGTATAGTAAGGGCACTTAATAACTGGACGTGATTTTGCTATTGGATTGAATAACGATTTCCTCATCACTTGGTCCTACGGGTCCTAATTTAGATATAGGATGTAAGGAGAATTTGAGTCCTTAATAATACAAATAAGCATTTACCTATGAGCAGATCCATAGTTGAGAATAGGAAGCTATATTTGGTCACACTCTATTTAAGACGCTCTCAATTTCTATGTCAAGGGTATGGGAAGGCGTAGTCAAGTTGGACCATTTCGTTCTGCGCTACAGATCATTGAGTAATCCACCTACACGTGGTGTCGTGGCCTACTCATCAGTACAAATACGTTGCGTACAGAGATGAGCAGTAATCTTATTTGTTCAATTGTTTCATTCCAGGTTTCCTGACAGTTATAAACTGCTATAACGTTAAGTGGGTGACGCGAGTGCAAGATTCGTTCACGGCGGCGAAGATTCTTGCGTTGCTAGTCACATTTTTTGCTAGTTTATGGCATATGTACTCCGATACAACGGAGAACTTGGAGAATATGATGGAGGGCACGATCACAGCGCCTGGTGAACTGGCCATAGCGTTCTACACAGGACTGTTCTCTTACTCCGGATGGAACTACTTAAACTTCGTGACGGAAGAATTGAAAGAACCCTACAAGTGAGTCGATTTATCATGAGTCGTTAGCTCTTCCGATAAATTCATTCTTTGCAACACTCGGCACGGCACGGTACTCAATCTTTAAATCTAAGACCAATATGTACAGCGTGTTAATTTCTTTCTTTGTTTTCTTCTTGCAATCAGAATGTAAACTTTACCCTAGATTACCTACTTAATCTTCATCTCGGTTTATTTTTTAGACAGTTTCCTTTTTAAGCCGAGATACACGAGTTCCTCTTGGTTTTAACTCCACTAACGCTATTTCCTCTTTACATGACAAATGATTCAATCCATTCTTGTTTATTGACCATGCCATTCACACCTTTGCATCTTTATGTACCTTGGCATCGTTCACATTAACTGTCCAAACTAACTCGTCCAGAGTGTATCTAAATGTGGCAATTTATGACAATAATCATAATCACGGTAATCACTTAACAATATTTGTTAATCACTTGTGAACAAAACCGTGAAATAATGACAGTGTTTTGGTGCCTAACCAACTAAAATATGATTAACACCATCATTATAAATTCACACAGATAATTATTTCAGCTGCATTACTTAATGTTGGTTAATATTTCAACTCATTCGTTACACATCATGTGTTAGAAATAATAATAATCATAAATTATTACAACGCGTAAACTGTTATGAATCATGGGAATTTTGTGACGGTTTTATCTCTTCTTTGATATGAGTTTTGAGTGAGTTTGTATTAACATAACTTTTAATTAAAAACAAAATATTATTCCTATTACTCTTTTTTTGCTTTCACTTAACTAATAATATTTTCTCAGCTTTTAAACCTTTCCTGGACTTTCACGAACATTTCAAGACCAAAATTGCCAAATCGTTTCAGCTGTTCTCGAGTTTTAGCGAGACTAACGAACGGACATTCATTTTATTTATATAGATAGATATAGGTCTCAATCAAAAATAATTGGGTTGCTGTTTTGGCTATTAAATGTCAGCAAAAACCTTTAAAAAATATCTTTTCGAATCTAGTGAGTCTAGTACCTACCTATGAACCTTATTTAATTTTAAAATTCTACCTAAGCCAAAATCATGTTCTGTTATTTAGAGAATATTAAACAAATTCTGAAGTAAAGAAACCTTAACTATAACTATTAATATCTTCTCCATTTTACTTCATCCTTTAGACTTTTGCTAATATGCACTTTTCCAATAATATCTTAAATACGAATTTACGTCATCTTTATTACATCATTGAGGTCAATATCTATACAAATAATGTATTACGTACACACACTGCATACAGGACTTAAAAGTCAAATTAATATTTTTCAGAAACTTGCCTCGAGCCATCTGCATCTCAATGCCAGTAGTGACCTTGGTCTATGCATTGACCAATGTGGCATACTTCGCAGTACTCACCAACGATGAGATCCATTCGTCCCAAGCAGTTGCTGTGACCTTCAGCGTCAAGATCCTTGGTATGATGTCCTGGATCATGCCTCTGTTCGTCGCTCTGTGTACCTTTGGATCCCTAAATGGAGCCATCTACGCCTCATCCAGGCTGTTCTTCGTCGGAGCCAGGAATGGACACTTACCACTTGCCATATCTTTGATTGATGTTAGGAGGTTAACTCCTGTGCCTTCGTTAATATTCCTAGTAAGTATATTTTTATGTTGCTTTCAGACCATATTGATAAGGATATTATTTATCCTAATACACAGAACAAGAATTTAGATAGGAATGCACTCAGAAAATTCAGCAAAATTCAGTGAGGCCATATAAAATTAATATTAACTAACAATAATGTCGGCATTTAACCATAAAGTCGTGGTGACCCGTAGGTTTAAGACGCCCGCTTCTCACGCATAAGGTTGGGTCGAAATCCTACCAACAACAAGTACCAATGCGACATTTTCTGAGTTATATGTACTTTCTAAAATTAATTAAAAACCACTGACAAACGGTGTAGGAAACGTGAGGAAACCTAGGCTTATAAATTCTAATTATAAGTTTGAAATCGCCAACCCGCATTGAGCAAACGTGGCGATTGACGCCCAAACCTTCTCTGTGTGAGAAGAGGCCTTTGGTCAGCAGAGGCCACTTATAAGCTGTTGATGTGTGATGTGATGTGATGTGATGTGATATAAAATGGTTGGCATTGTATAGAAACTATGATAGGCAAATAGGAATAACGAAATAGGTTCTGCTTGTTACTAAGCAACAAAGTAGTTTAACTAATCGTCTTGACACTAACGGATAATGTTGACAGCACGTGTACAAGAAACCAATTAAGTTTCTATTCCAGAAAGTAACTCTTCATTAATCTTTTCTAAAGAGTTCTCGTTTTATAGGGTTTTTAATTGTGTGTATTAATGAGAGAGTTAACAAGAAAATTATCAGTTTACGATTCCATGATGATGTTCATGACATGGTCATTATATAAAGTTAATTGCAATGAAAATATGTAATGTAATTCTAGAAGGAGAGATTTATTTGATGCAATTGCGACGAACACTTAGTCCAACACTACAAAGAGTTATTTAAAACGATTCAGGTTATAGGTGCAATACTGTATTTTATTCCTTTGTACGTACTGGTTGGGTCCCCGATTAATTTTCTATTATTTTAAGGCTATTATCAAACTAACTAATAATAATTAGGTTCGAATAATTGGCAATTGGACTTCCTTATACCTCTATACCATTATAGATATCGTTGCAGGAAAACATGATGTTATTTGAATTACTTAACATTAAATTGATATAATTTCCTATTCCAGTGTATAGCGACGTTGGTACTGCTGCTCTCAAACAACGTGGAGTCCCTCATAGTGTACGTGACGGCAGTGGAGTCTCTGTTCACACTGGCATCGGTGGCAGGCTTGCTGTACATGCGGTATACCCGGCCGCACCTCATGCGACCCATCCGAGTCAACATCATCCTTCCTATCTCCTTCCTCATCATCTGCACCTTCGTCGTTATCTGCTCCTGTTTCACCACACCTGTAGAAGTCGGTATAGGAGTCGTCTTCATCGCCATCGGAGTCCCAGTCTACTACATCTTCATCGTCTGGAAAAACAAACCCCAATGGTTGATCTCAGCGTGCAATGCCTTCAACCTCGCATGCTCCAAAATATTCCTATGTCTCCCAGAAAGTTCCAAGGATTTATGATCTTTACGTTACATATGTTATGTATGTTATATGTATTTAGTGTGATCTGATTAATTATTTTTGCTATTTTTACTTTTACTTATATGTCGGTTTATGTGGCATAAGTCGGTTGGCATAATTATAAAGTACAGATCTGTTAAAACTAAAATGGTGATTCCTATGCAGTTATAAGTTAAGATATCTATATGTGAATACTTAGATGTTAAGTATATAACAATTTCTTATTGATAATACAATACAATCATTGTTAAAACGTGTGTTTATTCAGTTGTTATCACCGGCACGTCAATATCTCCCGCTTCATACAATATGTGAATGGTTAGTTTATAATAAGTCATAACCATTTATCGATAGGCTTGAAGTATGAATTTCAAATTAAATTAACATAAACAACCGAGTATAGAACGGTTAGAATACAGCCTCACAGAAAACCGACGTGAAACGACACTTGCGTTGTTTCGTCGTGTGAGTGAGATTACCGGAGGCCTAATTGCTCCCCCTCCCTTCCCCAAAGTCCCCAATCCCTGAATACGCATTTAGAGGTATAACGGCTCTGGTCTTCCAGGTGTCCATGGGCGACACCGATTGCTTACCATCAGGTGACCCGTCTGGTCGTTTACCGGATTATCCCATCAAAAAGTTATGCCCTAAAAGCGTGACAAAACATATTATTATAAAATGAGACGAAATTGTAAAATAGATATTTAATTTATTTGTATGACTATTACACTCAAGAGCCATTTTCTTCATATTCAACTCAATTTTTCAACTACATGTAGTTCGATTTTCGCTTACTTGACACTGGTATAAAGTTGAGGTTATGCTTTTTTTTAAGGGGGAAAATCATCGAATGTCTGCTCCCACCTGGGTGAGGCGGGAGAGAGTGTCAGACTCTTAGTGACTAAAAACCACCCCGTTCCTTCTACTGCACGTCGAGCCGGAGCCCCGGTTTAATATGTGCATCTCTCTACACCTTCGCTTCGAAAAATGTAAATCGTAATGAATGAGGCCCAAATAACGAAATCTCTAGGTAATGGGTCAGGCTCGTATAAGATCTTGGTTCGTAGGTCGTGGATAACATTATCTACTAGCTATCATTAGCAAGTTTACTTCAACAGCAACGTGCTACAATAAATTCGTAGGCGCTTTTGATAGAACTTGTAAATATTTGTTTACTAGCACAAACAGTGTAGTGTACCTACTCCTTATCACGATTCAAAAATGAATTCGAATACCAATATTATCTATTAAAATTGACCTACCTATATTGCACAGCTCTTATAATTTAGATTTTATTGATTTCGTCATTGATTTATTTACAAACTGAATATATTCAAGGTTTCAGACATCTGTCACAGAAAGCTGAAGAAGCTAGTAAGTTGTAGGATATTACATTTCTATAAAAAAGTTACTTTTAAAAATACTATAATACATAAATCTGTAAGCCCTAATTTTAACTCAAGAGTTCTTAAATTGCTTCGGTGGAATACTAAAACCACAATATAAAAATCATACAGTAGGACAACGCCTTTGATCTCGTGTAAAATGCCGACATCGTCTAGACAGCAACACATCGGCCAGGGCTGTCAAAAATATGAACTTATGGCACCGACTAGAAGTCGGTCAGTGTGAGAGTAACTCATCAGTACTAATATAGTTATTTTTTTTTTGCTTATTACTTTTACTTTTTATTTGTTTTAGATTTTTTGAAAAGTCAGTTTCTTAAAAGGAGTTTTTATTTTTTTATTCTATTATTTTTAATGTAAGTGGCAAAAACAGACCCGTTTTTCCATTTATAATCCCCATAGGTGAAAAGTTCTAATCAATACAAATTATACAAACCCAAACACAAGGTAGTTACTGTACACCGTTAAAGAGTTACATTTCGACAGTACCATCAGTTTTACCACCTTTGAAAACAGTGAAAACGACACCCAAATAAATTGCAAATTACATGCAGCTGTCATCTTGAATTTAGATACTGATAGCTCCATAATTTTCACCACCCTCAAAAACCATGAAAACGATACCTATGACTTTGCCCTGTCTAGACGTCTTCGTTGGACGACTGTATAGACTGTGGTAAAACTATAGCTGGTAGCGCGTAGTTTAGAAACTAGTCTAAGGCGTAACTTTTAGTCCGTAGCTCGTAATGCCTAGCTCGTAGTGCGTAGCTCGTAGTGCGTAACTCGTAGTGCGTAGCTCGTAGTGCGTAGCTCGTAGTACGTAGCTCGTAGTACGTAGTTCGTAGTACGTAGTTCGTAGTACGTAGTTCGTAGTACGTAGTACGTAGTTCGTAGTACGTAGTATGTAGTACCTAGCTCTCAGTGCGTAACTCGTAGCACGTAGCTCGTAGTTCGTGGAGTGTAGTTTCTAGGACGAAGTTTATCGCGCAATTGGTAGCGTATGGCGTCGCTACGACCTACGGACTACGAGCTACGACTATAATATGTTGGCTTGATCCCATTATCTAAGTGTAAAATTTAATTTATTTACGCAGAAAGTACGTGAGCTTCTCTTGGAGGGCTGAATGAACTGAATCATCCCGCTAATTACTCACAGTCTATTAGTAATTATGTTCATATTTATTTATCATGTATGTATATATGTATGTATGCATGTATGTATATTGTATTGTTGTTATATATTAGTGATCGTGTGTAGGTATATATACCTATATTATAATTATGTTTATTTACGTTTATATCTGAAATATGTTAGTATAATCTACTATTTGCTCAATTAAGTCGTTGCTTGCTTCTTGCTCACCAATAAATCTTCTCTGCATCACCCAAAGGTTAAACTGGGAGAAAATACCTGCGGCATTATGTCCACCTTGTGTACACTTTGTGCATGAAGCTTTAATAAATAAATAAAATTAGGGATTATAGATTAAAACAAGGCTTTACGTGACTAGAGATCTGATTCCAGTTTGACAGTGTGAGATTCGAGGAGATGACATAAATGACACACAACACGTGACATTATGATGGGCGTATCACAAAGAACAGCGTGTCCAAAACGTCCCTGGTATTCGCTTCCCACCTTGGCCATTTCCTATCATTGTCAATTTATTTATTCATTGTGAATCACAAACTCCTTTTACCTCACCAACGATCAATCGTACCAAATTGCCGTATTGGTTACGCGAATCATTCTGAGCAGGTTTCGTTAACAAAGCTTGACACTCAACATGGTAACATGATAACATATATTTTAATTAAATTCCATTGATTTTTCCTTGAATATAGATCACAGACTCTAACTCCGTTTCCGCATACTTCATGAAGCAAAAACGACAACTATCCTATGTAGTATTTAAATTATACCCAACAAACAAGTTTTTCGCGCTAAAATACTAAATTGGCGCACTTTTTATCGTGCGATGTTCACTGAAGCGTGAACACCGGCGTGCTGAACTCTTAAATCACGTACTCGAACCTACATTAAATGTTATGAACTAGTCGCGACGTCGCCATTGTATGGTTACCGTGAAAATTGACCAAATTAAAGTTTCATAACCGTTACGGAAGCCTACAAAACGTCCAATAGTTCAATACTACCTACTTACAGGCCATTATAATCGTTACAGGATGTTTCCGCTACTTTTTAGATTATAAACTTAATGAAGGAAATGTTTACAAATTGCGTGTACTGTCATAAATTATAAAAAGCGATGAAACTTACGTCACGTGTTTACGTCGTTACTAACTGTTGCCCGCGACTTCGTCCGCGTAGAATGTGTTACTTCTTAGTACACCTGCCAATAAAAGTCTTGTAAAATCAGTCCAGTCATTCCAGAGATAAGCCAGCACAAACAGGCAGACAAACACTCTAAAAAATGGTATTATTACAAAATCGGTCCAGCCATTTCAGAGTTTAGCCATATCCGTAGCCGTATTTAGCAAAAAGCGTTTACTTTAACATTACAAACAGACACTCCAATTCTATTTATTAGTTCTTCATCTTCATTAGCAAATCGTTACAGCCCGAAAGTGGACTATGACCGTCCTGAACGTAAGATTACGATAATCGCCACAGCTTGCACTCGGATTTGCAGATAGCTGTTCGAAAGGATGATAATGAAATTCATGGTCTTTTCGAGAGCACCATTGTTCAGTTTTTAACAAATGCGTAGCCTAGTCACTTAGTCCTATTTAGCAATAAGTAATTTTCATTCAAGGCTCGTACACAAAACTGCGATGCGACGTCGCATCGCAAAAATGTGCGAGCTCCCTATACGCATCGCAAGAACTTGCGAATTGATTCGCATCGCGCATCAAAATCTTATCTTCCCAAAATCTTCGTTATTACTTTTTCCTGTATCTCCTAAGCAATAACAGAAGTGCACACTTCTTTTTACGATCCGTATCACGACCTAGTTTTCAATTTGAAATACGTTTAGTATGGTTGACGGTCGTCGAAGGAATGGTCACCCTGGGAGACGCCTTGTCGCACAAAATCGCATCGCAGCAATTCGCATCGCAATTTTTTGCGTTGCGAATTCGCATCGCTGTTTTGTGTACGAGCCCTAACGAGGATAGCATTTCTTCAGTAGTTAACACATTCTGGTTGCTGACACATACAACACATTCTACTTCCTACTTAATTATAAATGCGAAAGTTTGTGAGGATGTATGTTTGTGTGTGTGTGTGTGTTTGATACTCTTCCACGTCAATATGGCTGAAGGAATCGAGATGAAATTTGGAAAAGGTTAATTATGGTCTGGGATAACACATAGGCCACTTTTAATTCCACGAGAACGCGGGCGACGCCGATAGCAGAAGCTATAGCTAGCTTATAAAATAATAAACATCTATGCAGTGGTACCTAGGTACTCTATAGGTATTGTTGTCTATTTAGTCTCAGCCTTGTATTGGTACTCTTTACTACAGACAGTAAATAACATTAACATCTCACCGATTCCCGGCAATTGTTTGAAAACCACCTGTGTAAATAAAAATACATACCTTCTGTACATAACTTTTATGACATACCT